TCTAATGGCCAACCTACCCAAAAGTTGGCCAGAAAATACAAGCCAATGTGCTGACTTCTCCCAGCAAGACTGTGGCTTGGCCATGAGGAAGGTCGACAAAAATTTCCATAAGAAGCCGTTACCACTTCTTCCATTGGAAGAAGATTTTCTACAGCCAGCTGATTTTCCTTCAGAAATGGCACAAACTTTTTAATCGTTGTATATTCTTCCACATGAAGAATATAACGGTCATAGTATTTTTTTTCCAATTTTGGAAAAAAATTGCTACTATTTTATTTGTCCCAAATTCATATCTTGTGATTTTTGGGGGGTAAAACTTGGCCAATCAACTATGTATTTGGCCTGAAGATGTACAAATTCATCCTCCCCGTAAACCTCCAGACCTCGAAGGACAACGAAATTGGATGTGAAGGTTCAAATCTTCGTCGTAGTTAAATAAGCTGTTTAAAGTTTTCGGACCAATGGTACATTTTGATTGAAAAGTTTAGTTGTTCAATTCCTAAAACAATAGGAATATCACATGGCAAATTCTCACTCACATCTAAAATTTGATATGCCTTACAATTCTTCAAAGAATATCAGGTACATTAAATTTGGGGGGCAATGTTTACACCCTATTTTTCCATTTTCCAGAGGACGATTGCTCTGGTCAATTCCAATGGAAAGGTACTGCGATGTTCTAGTGGAAAGTCTTGGGACATATGACAGCCAAGGAAACAAGCGGTTACATACAAAGTCATGGGACACATGGCAACTTAGGAAGTGAGCGATTATAAGTGGTTACATGCAAAGTCATGGGACATATGGCAACCTAGGAAATGAGTGGTTACATGCAAAGTCATGGGACATATGGCAGCCTAAGAAGTTGGTCTATTCCAATGGAAATGTACTACGATGTTCCAGTGGAAAGTCTTGGGACACATAGCAGCCTAGGAAGCTGGTCGATTCCAATGGAAAGGTACTATGACGTTCCAATGGAAAGTCTTGGGACACTTGGCAGCCAAAGAAGTAAGCGGTTATAAGCGGTTATATGCAAAGTCATGGGACACATGACAGCATAGGAAGTGAGCGGTTACAAGCGGTTACATACAAAGTTGTGGGACACATGGCAGCCTAAGAAGCGAGTGGTTACAAGCGGTTACATGCAAAGTCATGGGACACATGGCAGCCTAGGAAGCGAGTCGATTCCAATGGAAAGGTACTACGATGTTCTAATGGAAAGTCTTGGGACATTTGGCTACCAAGGAAGTGAGCGGTTAGAAACGGTTACATGTAAAATCATGGGACATATGGCAGCCTAGGAAGCGAGCGGTTACATGCAAGCTACCATTACTAAATTCTATAAATAGGGCATGATATTATAACTTAGAAGGCCTGTTCAATGCCAAACACATCATTTCAATACAATTTTACTTTTCATTACACTGCACTTTCAATATGATTAGTCTTAGTTTTGCACTTTTCTTTTCATTAGATAATTCCTTTACTTTCATAAGTAACGTAGTTCTTCCTAACTAGTTAACCATCCCGAAGTCCTTTATCAAAGGGAAAAAAAACCCAAATGTGTTTATTCCAAACCTCTTCACAATCGTCTGGTTTCGCAGTCTTCCTTCTAGAATATTATTTGGATCTCTCTTTGGAACTACTGTAGTTCCTGGTATGCCCACCCGGTTCCATTGGAACTGACCCCATTTTTTTATAGGCCAAACAGTAAGATTATCCATACTCTTTTGTAACAACCAAAACCGTAGGTTCGAATCGCTAACCGGGTCCTTAACCAAACCCGAGGACACACTAGGGGTAAAATGGTCATTTTATAATATAAGAGGGTAATAAGACCTCAAACTAGTCAAATGAAGTCTAAACAATTATTCTAGTCATTCCATGAAACTCGATGAAGTTCTACGATTATCGGATATGAATTCCCAAAAGTACCCTTACCCGGTTCAAGGAAAATTCCGATACTGTTCCACTAAAACAACCATAACTCTCAACATGAATAGAATTTGAAGATGAGTTTGGTCTCATTGAAAAGCTAACTCAAAATTCTTGAAAATGGATAAAAGAATGACCCTATTTGGGATCAGAACTAAGAAGTTATGACCGTACGAAGTCAAGAGTTCCAACTGATAACTAAAGAAGGTAAAATAGTGCACTGGGGCTGAACTGGTTCAAGATGGGCAGTGTGCCCATTCTTGAACCAAAGACCCCCCCTTGAACCAGTTCAATGGGGCTGAATCGGTTCAAGATGCCTAGAACTTTAAAATTACCCCAAACAGCCTAAGTTTATGATCTTGTGCACTTTGGCACTACTTTGGTCCCTTGGTGACTTTACTCAAAGCCTAAACCTGTCCCAATTCTTCCATTTAATGATGAAACTAACACAATTAGGTAGTAATGAAATCAAATAAGGCCATACATAAGTCCGATACACCATTAAAATTAAGCAAATCCGTCATACATAAAAAATATGGCCTTAAGGCCTTACATGGATATTGAAATCATAATGTGACCAGAAAATACAAATGGATGGCCTCAAGACCATTTCCAACCATGTAAAAGATACAAAATGATCCCTAATATTATTTACAACAAAAAGGGTTAATATGCACATTAAGCATAAAAGAGTCCAATTCCGTCAACCCAACTAAACTGGTGGTGGATTGTCGTCCGCCACTCCTTTGCCATGACCTGAAAAATGTTAATAATAAGGGGTGAAAAAATTTGCTCAGTAGGTGGTGATGTGTGTTTTTATTTATCAATAATAAAATACCACTCACAATAGAACGAATCCTTGTAGGATAGGGCTATGTTGAGGGTGTCGAACCTCAAGGACTGTTGTGGTTTATCGAGTCTTTAATTAATACTATTTTAATTAAAAAGGAGATGTGATTTTGTGTGTCATGTTGCAATTCAATAATATAAAAGAAAATAAATAAAGTAAAAGAAAAGATTAAGGGTAGAGATACTTAGGGATTGACTTCACCACGATCCTCTTACTATGGTCAACTGTTCAACCTTAGGATTTTAACAATTTATATATCATATGAATTAAACTCAATAACATTCATTTAATTCGGTTTTAAAAAAAGAGGTTTCATTGAAATTAGCTAACTATAACCTATCAAAAGTTGGCACGAATTATCTGCCTACCTACTTCTAACTAATGTTGTAGTATAACTCGTCTTTCCTAAGCATAGATTATGAAAGAGTTCATTCAAGAAAAATGTTTGAATACTGATAAGTGCTTAATGTTGCACATTTTAGCACCTAAACTAGGGTATTTTAGTCATTGCATCTATCTTATTTTAATGTTTTAGTTCTAATTTATGTTTTTGTCAATTTCAGGTCAACAAGGTTCAAACGGACTAATTTTGGTTCACTAAAGGCTTTTTGGAGTCAAGCAAAGACATTCAGAAAAAGTTCAGAAAATGGCAAAAAGAGGTCGCAGCCCATTACTCGTATAGTGTGTTTATTCTTCAAAAGCGGTCAATCTCGGGCCTTTGATGATGTTCCCAAAGATGAAGAAGCAAACCAATTAGCCTAAGGCCAAAATAGAGCTAAATAAGGCTTAAAGGGAATTTTCAACTCTGGGGGATCGATCCCCCATTATTCACAGAACTAAAAATGCCCTTGGGGGATCGATCCCCAAGGCTGTGGGATCAATCCCCCAGTACCTGGCAGCATTACGGGATTTTCTTATTTTGGGATTATTTTTGTAACTTATGGGCTTTAATAAGGTTTGTTACTTAAGGCCCAGTGAGCCATTAGTTTAGGGTTAGTTTTTATTTTATTTAAGGAGTTTTATATTTATTAATTGAGGAGAATTTTTTTTAGGTTTTATTTTTAGTCTGTATTGTGATATTACGCTCTCTCTGAAAAACACGGAAGAGAGAAACAACTAGGGTTCTTGGAAAAAGCACAGAGAAGAAGAAAAATTCAGAGAAGATGAAGCAGATGATGGAACTTGTTCTATCTTTGAATCCATCAACCATGAGTGGCTGATTCTTCTACTTAGGGTTGGACAAACCCTAAGCATGTAACCTATTATTTCTCTCTTTTAACTTTTTGGGGATTAATTTATGTAATTAGTGTATAGTCTTGAACATTATGAATTAAATTCTTTCAATTGATTATCTGTATTAATCTCATATTGTCTTATGTGTGGTTGATTGATAAACAAATTTTACACATGAATTCTTTGTTAATTGATTCTTGTAATGGCTATGCATGGTGTTGATTAGTTGTAATTGTGTTTCAAATTGATAGAAAATTACTTCTATTTGATGGATGGCACTACAAGTTTCGGTTAATTTATTGTCTAATTAGTTTTAAATTCATATTTAATTAGTTTAATTTAAGTTTAATTAATTTAATTGCAATTTAATTATTAGGTAAGTAGACCACCCATACTTATATTTGAATTCCATACTTTTTGCCACAATTACATTATCCTCTAGATTTATGTGAGTTGAAATTGCAATTGAATTGATAGATCATGCTTTGAATTGGTGAATTGATTTACACTTAGTTAATTGTCATTAGGTAAACGATTCAAGCTTTAAATTGATGCTTCATACTTTTCGTTACAATTGTTAGCCACATTTAGATTATACATTTTATTTCCTCAATTAGTTGAAAGTGAGTGAGTTAGGGAATGTGCTTAGTGGCGAATCATACACCCTAAGTCTCTTTCTAATCTTTTAAACTCTACTCTTTATTTGCATCATTTAGTTTAAAATTAGTTTTAATCACAAACAAAACCCTTTTTAGCGATCACATAAGCACTAAGTAAAATTCAATTCTAAAAACCTAAAATTGTTTCGATCTCTTGGGACGATCCATGCTCACTTCATTCTCCATAGTATAAGTGTTTAGTGGTTTTATTAATTATAAAATATGGTGCCCACTTGACATTATTTCAAAACCTTAAGTGTTGTGCATTATTTTGTGCACACGCTTGGTCGCACCAAATACCATTACATGATTTCCATTCTTATGTCCGACAGGGCTCCACCAAATATCGTCCAATAAGAATGGGTTAAGAACAGTTTATAAACAGTTATATCTAAGATAAGGTAGTAACTATTCAGAAACTATTAATTTGTTAAAACACCAATTGAGTTGGCTCAATTGCTCAAAATCATGTAATCAAAATATATAAACTATTAAATTCCCAAAGTATGAACAATCAAACCATAATAATCGGATCGTGTTACATCAATGGCCTAAGATAGGAATTAGGTACTCATGGCGACGCAAGATATCATCTGTGGTCTCAAGACCATTTCTAACCTTGTAGAAGATACAAAATGATTCCTAATATTATTTACAACAAAAAGGGTTAATATACACATTAAGCACAAAAGAGTCCAATTCCGTCAACCCAACTAAACTGGTGGTGGATTGTCATCCGCCACTCATTTGCCATGATCTGAGAAATGTTAATAATAAGGGGTGAGCAAAATTGCTCAGTAGGTGATGCCTAAGACACACCTCTTGTAGCCCCGTAAATCTAAACAAGGAATAGGAAAAGAATCAGGATCATGCTATTTCCGGGAAAAATATAACCACAACATCAACAACAATAATTTAAATCATAAACGAACCATGCCATGCCATGAAATGCAATGTCATGCAATGTCGCTCCCCATTTCCAAAACCTTTTTAGTCATCATTTCCAAATCGTTAATGCAACCCGTCCCATGACAGCTCCATGGCGGCACGAGAGAAGGATTGGCTAACTGTCCCTGACCACAAGGCAAGCTCTAAGGCATAATTTGGGCCCAGTTAACTCAACCGCGCTAAGGGGTTTCCTAAGTTCCCTCTAGGTCATATTAACGCCACGGCCCCATAGGCAATCTCCTAGGCGACCGGGTTTCGCACCATTCATCAAAAACCTTTTTCCCGAAATCATTTTCTTTCCTTTTTAAATCATTTTCCCATTTCTTTCCAATGCTTATGCATGAATGTATCATGCATTTTCATACCATATCAATATTCATTATCATACTTTTAATTTAAGCTTAACCACCTAACATGCTTTACAATAACACAAATAACATATCATGCTTCCAAGTAAATAAAAATCTATCATGTTAAGCACAAAAAATATGAAAACAAATCCATATAAGTATGCTTCTCACAACAAATCCACAAACCACTTACACATATATCATCTATACATAGAATTTCACATAGATATACAAATCCTTGACAACAATATAACGATTTTTCAACAGTTAATCACAATTAAGCATGCTATACATTCAATTATAGAGAAAATTCGTAAAAGTCAAAGGGTTTTTGTGGATTAGGACATCCCTACCTCAAATGAGAGAAAAGTCCCAAAAATTGCCCAATCCAAATCCTAATTTTTGAAATTCCAATGTGCACTAAACGAAGATTGGTTCCGATCAAATCATAGATCTCGTCGTGCTCTTCAATTTGCCACAAACAGCATCCAAAAATTCCAAAAGAAAACGGAGAAATCAAGAATTTAAGTTTGTGAAAAAAAAAAAAAAAAAAAGAGAAGGGAGAGAGAGAGGAAGACGAGAGAAAATGGGAGGCCTAAATAGCCTGTCTTTAAAAGAGGTGGTGGGTCCCATCACCAAAAACATTTTTATTTTTCTTTAAATCTCTACCATAAATGTGTATATATATATATATATATACACACACACACACACATATACACACTTAATAATTCTACTCGAGAACAACCAAATAAAAATAAACAGACCTCGGGTTAAACACCATTTTTCTTATGGTTTCTCAGAAGCGAAGATTGGGGAGCCAGTCCAAATTGAAGTCTTCATTAAGCACATTTATCTTCAGATTGGTGAGACAAGTCTTAAAAGGTTCCCAGAGAGCGGAACTATCTTTGTCACATATCACATCCTTTAATTGTGACAGATCCTTTACTGATGGCGGCAGCTCACGAAATTCACCACCTCTCATGTTGAGCTTTTTCAAACCACACAACCCACCAATCCCCATTGGCAATTCACTCATGCTTATACAGTCAGATATGTCGAGAACTCTTAATTCTTGAAGGCTTCCGATTGACTCAGGTAGACCCAAAAGGTTTGTACAGGCATGAAGCCTCAGCATTTCTAAACTTGTTAGCCTTCCAAATCCTTCAGGAAGTGCTTCCAGATCATGACATTTCGTGATGCTGAGCTTCTTAAGGCAGGCAACATCACAAAGCCCCTCAGGCAATTCAACTAAATCAATGCAACAGTCAATATCAATGTCCAAAAGATTTGGGAACATATGGGGGATATCGATAGTACAGTTTGTAAAGGCATCGCCAATCTCACACATAATCAAGGATATCTTCTGCAAATTCGTGAATTGTAATGTGGATTTACTAAGGAAAGAAACTGAAACATTCTCAAGTCTGATTCTCTTTAGACCAGACAGAGAACCAAGTAGAGGAAAATTACTCAGCTTAGCTGGGCAGAAATCATAATTTGTGAGGATCAGAACCTTCAATTTATCCATTTTCTCCATGAATTCAGGCAGGCTGTAGTTCCATGTCCGGAAATTCAATATTAGAACTTTAATTTCAGGTAGTTGGATATTGCACCAGCTTGAGGAGAATGTTTCATCTGCAATCAAAATTTCAAATTGTGAATTGGGGGAAAAAGAAAAAAAAAACAAATATTCTGCTGAAGGTTTAGTTTGAAAACGTGAACTAAGAAAACCTGTAGAGATGGACAAGAGGTGGGCATTGAAGGGTCGTTGCATTTGTTCAATTGACCACTTGGGAAGAACATTTCCTCTTATTTCCACAATTAATCTTTTCCTCTGTTCTACAGGTTCTTGGCTACTCTGGTAAATAGCCAGCTCTCTCAGCATACGGTGCTGCATGACAAAATGCTCATTGCCATCAAACTCGCATGCATCTTTCCTGCAAATGGGAGTAGTAAATCAGGTTTACTCAATCAATTTCGGAATGAAAAAAAAAAAAAAAAATCAGGCATCGGTATGACACCTAACAAGAAAATCAGGATAAACAGCAGCTATAATATCCCTACAATTCAAAGTTCCTATACTTTCCATCCTCTTATTCAGTTCTCCATAGTGATTTACCCTCTGAAAAGACGTTCATACAGAATTATCAAAATAATAATTACGATGATGATGATGCTAAGGAGTAAGGACATTGCTAACTATAATCATCAATAAAATTGACCTCTAAAGTATGGAAACTGTTTTTTGAGTTTGACTGCATACACTTTTTAATTTTTCAGTATAAGAGCAACCCTTTTGTGCAAAGAATAGCAAAGGCCACATACATTTCCAGTTCATCCCTCCCAATTTCCTCTATTAATGGGGACCACAATTCCTAATAGTCATTTATAAAGTGAGTTAAGTGACATAACAACATAATGATAACTTTCATAAAAAAAAATAAAATAAAATAAAAAATAAAAAAAGACAATAATGATAAAAACATTAAACCATAAAATGTTTTTTTGTAACCACTTTGAGTCTACTACAAGGATCCTTTTGCGGATCATCGCTATTTAGGGCCATGTCTTTAATCAACTAATAGGTCATGAAGCCTTTTTTTCATCATCCTTCCTGGTATTCTTTCACCCCTATAGTCATTTTTCTCTTCTCATCTCACCTCAAAGCCCTTAACTGGTGCTACCTAAGCCTTCTCAACAAAACATACATTTATTCTTCATATTAGGACTTAGCAATAAGAACATGCACATGCATATGCATAAACTGACAGAACTAAAAATTAATGCATATTAGAGTTCAAGGAAATTAGTTTGTGCAAGAGATTTAGAAAAATTAAAAAAAATAAAAAAATAAAAAACAAGGTCAAAAAGCAAAATTTATATCCTATATCTAGTCCACCCCTCCTAACACCTTGAATAGACTGGACCATCATTTCATTATGGCTCTTTTTGCAACCTAAAACACAAGACGTCATCAAACAAACCATGATAGATCATTTTAAAGAAAAATAGGAATCTAGAATACCTTGTAAGCACAAGATTAACCAAATTTCGGGTGGATAGTTCATAGATGTTGGCAAGAGCATCGTCTTCATCTAGGTTGTATAGTTCCACCCCCATATCAATAAGAGCAGTGGCAGGGATCCTTTGATCATCAGGAAATGAAACTAGGTCCAGGAAACACTCCCTGGCATTAGTTTCTTCATCCAAGGCATCTACGCTAGTTTGGAGAGGAATAAGCAATTCACTGTTGGAATCAAAAATGGATTGTCCTTCAGACCATTTCTTCAGCATGCGTCTCCAGAACAACTCTGGTTTTCCACATAGTGATCCACCAACCACTGTAAGGCTCAGCGGGAATCCTCTACAGCCGCTCACTATCTGCAATATGATGCAGCAAATTAAATCAGTTGCAGTTTCTTGCAAAGAGACGTAATTCAGAGTTGCAGACAAGTATACATAAACTCTACTTCTTGATCTTCAATTAAGTGGAACTAATGCAGAATTGCAGATGAGTAAACAGAAGCTCTACTTATTCTTGTTCGATTAAACAAATTTAACATTCATACTTTTAATTGAAAGGATAATTTTTGCCTAGGTTTCCGTCCCTTGTTGGCTAGAAATAACTGACTGTTTTCACTAACTATTACAATATTCAAACTATGAGATATAATAACCATGATTTTTTTCATTTAGAAAAAAAACGAAAATGGAAAAAAAATAATCTGGATATACAAACTCTGAAGAAAATAAAAAATAAAAAAATCATGGTGTTGAAGGCTGCATATTTTATAGTTTCAGATCGTTAAAAAAATTGCTGACACAGAAGTAAAACATGTAAGCATAGTTTTACTGTGTGCACGTACACACACATAATTCTATCAGACAAGTATGGAAAAATATATTAGCTCTTATCCATACAAGCGTTTGTATTCTACCTCATTGACAAGATCATCTGGTATGTTGGAGCTCCCATCTTGAGGAAATGCTGAATTACGAAAAAGAGCCATGGCATCTTGATCATTCAACAGTTCCAATTTATAAGTTGATGAAGCAAATCTAGGAAATACAGATCTTGATGTAACCAATATTTTGTATTCTGGTATTGGGAACATGAATTTCTGAATAAGGGATTCCGATCCAGACCATACATCATCCAGGACTAACAACTTAGGACTTGTTCCTATTTCACTTTGGCTCAGTAAGTTTCCCAATTTGTCGATCGCATCATCGTCATTTTGAAACTCAGGCACCTGAAAATTCTTATGCTGAAACATGTTGTGAACAATGACCTTGAGGTTGGGTGTCTTTGAAATCTTGACAAAGAAAATATTGTCCTTAAATTTTCCTGTCCAAGCATGGTATTTCAAATAAGTTAGAAGTACATGATGTAACACCAATGAAAAATTTAAGTTTATATAGTAAAGTGTCACCAAATCTTCCAAGCTTTCAACTTTCGCTTAGTCGTATTTTCTCATCTTTCAAAGTAGAAGGTTGAGAGTTTTGAGTCTCCTAGGTCCTAGGGGGAAGTGGGTGTGATAAATAAAAAATAAGCATAACAACAAAGCCAAGAAGATGAGATAATCCCTATATCAATACCTTCAATTTCAACATCATGGCAGAGCATTTTTGCCAGCGTAGACTTCCCCCATCCTCCGGGAGCCGAAAGCACAACCACCTGTACACCATCCTTGAGCAACTTCATCTTCAATTCTTGAAGAGGCACATCTAATCCAACAACAAAATCCTGGACTCTCGGAGCTCCACACGAACCTATGAACACATTGGGATCACAAACCCGCCCACCTTTCCTCATCCCCGACCACATTCTATCCAATTTCGTGCCAATCTCATTCACCTTCACCAGAGTCTTCTTGCCATCTCTTGCCAGCATAGCTTGCACATCGGTCTGAAAGAACTTCAAAAGCAATTCTTCGAAATCAATGAGCTTCTTCGAGTAGGAAGGCCTCTTGTAAAACTTCAAACACTTGATCTGCGAGCACTTGCGGACCAGCTCCGTGGCCTCTCTCAGCCGATCGGTGAACATTTTGGTTTCTTCCACCGGAAGGTCCAATTCTCTGTCCAACTTCTCGATCTCACATACAATAGGGCCGATTGATCTGACGCTTAATTCGAGTCGTTCGAGGTTGGGCCTGAAGCTGATGGCTTGGTCTTTCACATCCAGAATAGCGCTCAGTAATTCACCAACTGCTGCTCCCAAAATAGCCCCTCCAAGAAGCTCCAACGCCATCGATATGTGTTTCCTCTGCACAGAAACAAAAAACCAATTCACTGAAAATCAAGAGGAATTGCGTTTCTCGATCTTCTGGTTTATGTTTCTGATTGTCGACTCTTCAGTCAAGTTTTGGGTGGGAAAGTGTCAGAGAATCAATGTATCCTCTGGAATTTCAGAAAATTTAAAGGAATGAAATTGTCATTTTGAATCAGTCAAGTTTTGGGTGTGAAAGTATGTCGGAGAATCAATGTATCCTCTGGAATTTCAGAAAATTCAAAGGAATTAAATTGTCATTTTGAATCAGTCAATAGAGCATGTGTGAGTCTCAGGTCGTTGAGCTCTTGAAAAGTATGACTCCCGGACGACCGTCACCTGAGTCTCGTTTCACCTAACAGGCCGTTGTTTTTAAAAATCCCCTTATAATTGAAAATTTTAATACATTGCGACCTCAACCTTGGCCCACAGAGATAGTGGGGCCCTATCATTTTTTATCTTTCCCAGAGACCATCTTATAATAATAGGCTTTATTTTATTTTATTTTATTTTTTATTGTCTAGGATTTGACATTTAGTCTTTTTTTAAAAAAAACAGGTCATATTTTAGATCATTTGGAAGTCACATTTGGTGTAGGTCATATTTTAGATCTCTCTGTTTGCCAAGCAACAGTCTGCCCTACACCAAACAACAGTCTGCCCTACACCAAACAACTTTAAGAATAGTACTTTTTAATAAAAGTTGCCTTAGTTACGTACTTGGACGTCATTGCTTTTTGTTTTTCAGCAAGATATCATCTCTTTCTTTCTTCCTATTCCGACAGCTACTAGAAAAACATAGAGAATTCTTGTCATTCCACTTTCACTGTGTAAAGTTGATTTTATGAATATTGTTCTTAGATTTTAATGATCTTTGTTCCAGAAACAATATTATTCAACAATAAGCTCACAATGTCTTTGTTTCCTTTCTCCGTATACATGGTATATTTTTTAAAAAAAATGTAAAGAAATTAGCACAGTTAATATCTCTTGGTCACCAGAGAAAAAAAAATTTTAAAAATCAAAATTAAGGTTCTGAACGATTGTTAATCTATTTCATTTTTGCCAAGAGAAAGGGAAAACAAAAAATTTGGTTCCCCATTTGAACTCAAACAATGGAATCAAAAAATAAATAAAAACACAGCAAAACAACAATGGAAATAAACTTCTATATCAGTTGTTCTAGATTGAACCTGTCATTTAAATTTGAGAAGATGTTTCGTGATGCCCTAATCTCTACAATGGGACTACTCATCCCACCACACCATACCTGGCATGACCAATTTCATATTCACCATCCATTGCAAAATATTGAATGATTAATTTAAAATAACTAAATCAAATCAAGCCTTACATGAACCCGCACAAAGGTTTTCAAAACATTCTCAGTAACAATAACAGGTAAAACAGGAGTCCATAATTACATTATTCCTCTCACTTCAAAACATCCACAACAACAATAACAGAAAACACACAAATTCCAAATTACATTATTGTGAAAAGTTGAAAACACAAGTCCATAATTACATTATTCCTCACAAATCAATTCTCTCATACTAGAATCAAAGAAACAAGACTAAAGCAAATACGACGAGCATCCCCCAAATCTCAATCTTACTCCATTGATGCCTTACCTGAAACATTGAAAAGAGAGCGTGTCACAGCTCAGCAATTACAGTTCTTAACAACTCGTACCATACCACAATAATAATTGTACGATACATCTTGGTTCAATATATTATGAAATAAGTTTACTCCGATCCATATTATACCAATTTCAACAGCATTCTAATTAAATGATGTATCATGTAAGCAAAGTCATCAGCTTTATCAACCTGGGATACAACCTCTCTAATATAAATCATATTATATTAGATATAGGTCATAGTTCCACTTGCCTGTTAGTTTTCTAAAATAGTTTTACTCTCTGGTCCCTGTAGAATTTCTCTTCCACGACTCTTAGTTTAGGGTTCTTTCAGAGGAAAGTGGTATATTCTGTCCTTTCGGGAAGGCAATATATAGCCAAGGAGTGTAATGGTAAAAAAAAAAAAACATGTATTCGAGCATGAAACAGAGATTTCTACTCATGTCCTACAATGATAGCCTATTCATGTCCTAGCTCGATCTTTTGAGAACTAAGCATGATAATAACTGAGCTTTTTTGTGAATAGATATCAATTGCAAGCTGCATACTGTAATATCATGCTGTGTTTTGTAATCTATCTAGTTCGATTCCAGCTAGGAACACAAGCACACTCTAGTTTGGAAGAACAGACTAATAACTTGGATCATCTTGCTGGTTTCAAAGAAAACAAAAAATAAAGAAAGAAAGAAATAATAATAATAATAAAAATAAAGGAAGGATAACTATACATCTAATGGTTTCAAAATAACGGAAATTTCTACAGAACTTGAAAATTAGCTTCCCAAATGAGACCCAGCATCATGGCAAGAACTATAGATTCTAACCCAAATCAGATTACACAAAGAGATAATAAATGAGATGGGATCAAGGTATCAATGGGCCGGCCAGTGGCCTAGCGGTATCAGGCTCTTGCTTCCCAAAGAGAGGTTAAGGGTTCAAGCCTCCATGGAGGCATGTGTGTGTGAGTATCATTGTATCAACTATGAAAAAAAAAAGAGATGGGATCAAGGAGAAGACAAAAGGGAGCTGGTAAGACTGACTTGGGATATTTCAGAAATGAGTGTTTCACATGATATGATCAGCTACAATTTTCACAATGGAGCACAAGAAAGCAGAATGACAAAGTTCTACAACACGAGGATAAAATGACATTTCTCCTAAAGCATGAGTTTTACATGACAACCGCTGAAGTGGAGTGTACAGGAAAAAAAGATGAGCATATGTTTGATGGTGGTGCTGTCAAACAAAACCTCATGAAAGATATACAGTAATACTTTTACCGTAATTCAAGAGGTACTCAAGTTGTATATCCTCCTTTTCAAATGAAAAATAGAGGATTCAAATCTCGTTAAGGTTATTGTGCAAGTATTTGTCAGTTGGGTGCATGACTAATTTACCCATATATATAACAACAATCAAAATAACAATAACAATAGCGACAATAATACTTCAAGAGCTGTTCAAAACCCACTAGTCATCCACAACAAAGCAACAGATGCCCAAGCAGACTACGGAGGCATCAAGTCACTTATCCTAAGTTGTGGGCAGCTAGCACCAAGGAAATCACGCAATGATAAGAAGCGATGGTGTTACTCAACATGAAAACAGAGGTAGGGAATAGTTTTTCAGTTTGACTCTTGACAGTGCAGGTGAAGTGATAGTGGAATCTATATATATGTATGTGTATATATATATATATATTCAGTCTGTATATTTATTTCTTCAGAAGAAAAAAAATGAATACAAGTAAACATACCTGAGGTTCTACACAATTTTCTCAAACTAGGGTTTCTCAATGGTGTAGACTGGGAAGCCAGTTTAAATTTTTGTCCTCCTTAAACACAGATACCGTCAGATTATTGAGATGAATCTTAAAAGGTTCCCAAAGATCGACAGTGTCTTCATCGCATATCACAACTCTTAATTCCCCAAGATCCTTTACTGATGGTTGCAACTGATGCAGTCTACAACAACCTCTCATGTCCAGCTTTTTCAGACCGCTCAGCTCACCTATCCGTTCTGGCAAGTCGCTTATGTCTAGGCAGTCCGATATGTCAAGGAACTTTAATTTATGGAGGCTTACAACTGAGTCTGGCAAACCCATTAGTCCAGTACAGGAATGAAGCCTCAGCACTTCTAAATTTGTTAGCATTCCAAGGTTTTGGGGAAGTGCAATCAGGTCATTACATTTAGTGATGCTGAGCTTCTTAAGGCGGATAATATCACAGAACCCCTCAGGCAGTTTTACTAGATCACTGCAACAGTGAATATCAATCTCAATAAGATTTGGGAACATAAAGGCAAACTCGATGGTACAGTTCCTAAAGGTCTCGGCAATTTTACACATATCGAAAGATATCTTCCGCAAATTTCTGAACGGTAATTGGGACTCACTAAGGAAAGAAATTGAAACATGCTCTAGTCTGATTCTCTTTAGATGGGATAAATGCCCAAGTAGCTCAAAGTTGCTTAGTTCAGCAGGGAGGAAACCATTATTTGTGATGATGAGAACCTTCAGTTGATCCATTTTCTCTATGAATTTGGGCAGGCTGTAGTTTGTTGTCCGGAAGTTCAATATTGCAACTTCAACCTCAGGTAGTTGAATGTAAGATGGCTGAACCAGCTTGGATAAACAACCAAGTAATGTTGAAAAACTGCACCAGCTTGAGGAGAGTGTTTTTTCAGGTAGTAGCATGTTGCACCAGCTAGAGGAGAATGTTTCATCTGCAGGCAATATTCCACACATTGTGAACTGGGGGGTGAAAGAAATAAATACAATATTGTCAAATTAAAAACATAAGATAATCAAACCTGTAGAGATAGACAAGAGGCGGGCATGAGACCGTTGTATTTGTTCAATGGACCACTTGGAGAGGTCATCTCCTCTTATGTTCAAAATTAATCTTTCCCTGTGTTTTATGGGCCCTTGGCTGCTCTGGTGGATAGCCAGGTCTCTGAGCAGACCATGTTGCGTGACAAAATGGTCATTATAGTAGCCATCAAGCTCACTTGTACCTTTCCTATGAATGGGATTAAACCAGATTGCTGATGAAGAAATTCATTTTTTAGGCATACAGTAATAGCAAGTATCCTAGAGCCATTCCTACTCTATCAATTTGGGGAAAACTAAGAAGAAAGAAATTAGGCATCCAAGAGATGACTGACAATACAAAAAAAAAAACATAAAAAAGTAGCTGGAATATCCCAATAGTTCAAAACTCCAATACCTTTCCTCTTATTAAATTCTCTCCAAATATTACCTTATGTGTGAGAGAGTTCATAAAAAACTACAATAATAATAATATGTTGATTGCAAGCATGTCAAATAAGCTAAGGACATTATTATTACTGTAGTTAACAGAAAGTTGAACTATGAAGTAACACCACGGATTCAAGTCTGAGAGCAGCCAAATTGTGCAAATAATACAAAATATTAATGGGGAATACCTTGTGAACACAAGATTAACCAAATTTCTGGAGGCTAGTTCATAAATGTTGGCAAGGGCATATTTGCTGTCTTCATCCAGGTTGTACAGTTCCGCCCACATATCCATTAGAGCCATGACAGGGATCCTTTGACCTTCAGGAAATAAACCTAGGTCCAGGAAACACTCCTTAATGCTTTTGTCCAAGGCATCTATACTAGTTTTGAGACTAATAAACTGACGACTGTTGGAATCAATAATGGATTGTCCTTCAGACAATTGCTGCACCTTGGATTTCCAAGTCTCCTCTGATTTTCCAATGAGTGATCTACCAACCAGTGAAAGGGCCAGTGGGTGATTCCCACATCCTTTCACTATCTGCAATTTGATGTTGCAAATTAAATCAGTTGCAATTTTTTGCAAAGAAAACAAAGTTATGCAGAATTGCAGATTAGTAAATACAAGGTCTACTTCTTGATTTTCACTTAAGTGGATGTAACTAATGGAGATTTGCAGGCAAGTAACAAAATGCTCTGCTTCTTGAACTTCAATTAAATACCAACACGCCTGTGGCCTAGTGGTACAAGGCCTCTATCTCCCAAAAGGAGGTCGGGGTTCGAACCTCAGTGGAGGCGGTGTGTGTGAGTACCCAACTAAGAAAAAAAAAAAGATGCTCTGCTTCTTGAACTTCAATTAAATGAAATTATCCAATAAACAGTTGCAAAAAGAAATACTTCTAGAACAGTTTCCTGTGTAAAAAATTGTGATACACTAGTAAAACATGCAAGCATAACTGCACATCTATATTGCAAACACATGAATTTTAAGGTACGAGTAACATGCAAGCATAACTGCACATCTATATTGCAAACACATGAATTTTAAGGTACGAGTAACAACAAAATTAATAAATCAACTATAAAAAGGTTTGTATTCTACCTTGTCGACAAGATTGTCTGGCATGTTGATGCTCCTACCTGGCAGAAATGCTAAGCGACAGAAAAGAGCCATAGCATCTTCATCACTCAATAGGTCCAATTTATATGAAACAAAATTTGTAATATTAGTTCTTGATGTAACCAATATTTTGTATCCTGGTATTCCGATTAACCCGAGCTTGAACTTCTCAATAAGGGATTCTGATGAATCTGATTCATGCCACACATCATCCAAGACCACCAACACAGAACCTAATCCTATTTTACTTTGCAGCAAGATCCCTAGTTGGTTGATCGCGTCGTCGTCACTTAGAAACTCAGGCACCGGAAAAGACTTACAATGTTGATACATTTTTCCAACAATGACCCTGAGGTCGGGTGTATTCGAAACCGTGACAAAGAAAACATTATCCGCAAATATGCCTGTCAAAAAATGAGCTCTGTAAAACCCGCTAGAAGGACGAAACTAAAACATCATTATAAGTTTTAGGATCAAGCCAAAAAAGAAAAAAAAAAAAACAACAGTTGTTGTTTGCCTTTTTGTAAATTAACTTCTCTAAACTAAAAACTATCTCCTTAACTATCAATTTATTGTAATTAAAGACAAATCTATTGTAAAAGACTATTTTATCTTTTTTTATTAAAATTTTTTATTTTTTATTAAATTATTTTTATTATCCTTTCTCTTGTGTAAATATTAATTATACTATTTACCCTAATTTTATTATTAGTATCAATTTATCATAAAAATGTAAAAAATAAATAAATTTGTAAATACCATTTTCTGAATTGATTAACTTATTATTAAAACTTTATTATTTATAATAAAACGTATTATAACCAATTTAAACATTTTTATCATAAAAAAATATCATCCTTTTTCATACAATATATTGATGAAAAATTAATAAGATATTTTTGAAAAAAAATAACTTCATTTCATGTAATATATTCATTAAGAATTAAAAAAATTCTACTAAAAATGTTATTTAAATAATTAATTTAAAAAATTAAAGATAAACTTATACAAATTTAATAAAAAATATATCATCAAATTAGTATGAATTTTTTTATAATTTATTTAGATAAGAAAAATATATTTGATGAAATATAGTATAATCGTTGCAGTGTATTGCAACAAAATGATATAGTTTAGAAAATTTTATGCACAGAATATAATTTAAGAGGATATTTACAAATTCAAACAAAATTCAGAATTTTTTTTGCACTTTAGCATGAGTTTTAGAAAGTTCACACATAAAAGTACTGCACCAAAGATTGGGGAGTCTGTCAACAACTTTATCTTTTGCAGTTAAAAACTGATTTTAAGATTAAAAGAAAGTTGTTTTGGCATTTTTTTCTATCTCCCCTACCTCTAGTCTTAACTAACATCAGTTTTCATCCAAATGCACCACTGGTTCTACTAATGCACATCAAATTCACCAAATTAAATTAGACATATAACAAAGCGATAATATTTATATCAACACCTTTAATTTCAGCATCATGACACAGCTTTTTTGCCAACGTAGACTTTCCATATCCTCCAGGAGCCGAAAGCACAACCACCTGTACTCCTTTTTCTAGCAACCTCGTCTTCAATTCTTGAAGAGGCACATCCAATCCAACAATAAATTCTAAAACTTCTGGAGCTCCACACGGACCCACATACACACCCGACTGCATTTCATTCAATTTCACCAGATTCTTCCTGCTATCTCTCAGCAGCACAAGGGTCTGACAGAATTTCTCAACCGTCTCATCCAATTCTTTGAGCTTCATCATGTAGCAAAACTTCATGATGAAATTCCACCACTTTGTTGTCGAGCAATTGTGAACCAGATTCACGGCCTCTCTCAACCGATCGGTGAACATTTTGGTTTCTTCCACCGGAAGAACCAATTCTCTGTCCAACTCCTTGATCTCACGTACAATAGAGTCGATTGATTTGACGCTTGATTCGAGTCGTTCGAGTCTGGACCTGAAGCTGATGGCTTGGTCTTTCACATCCAGAATAGCCCTTAGTAATTCACCAACTACTGCTCCCAAAACAGCCCCTCCAACAAGCTCCAACGCCATCGATATGTGTTTCCTCTGCACAGAAACAAAAACCCAATTCACTGAAAATTAAGAGGAATTGCGTTTCTCGATCTTCTGCTTTATGTTTCTGATTGTTGACTCTTCAGTCAACTTTTGGTGTGAAAGTATAACGCCAGAGAATCAATGTGTAAGACCCGTGTAAAATACATATATATATTTATATCATATATTTATTTACTTAATATAATTTAATAGTTATCTCTGATTTAATTTAAACAGGTGATTGTGATAAAGTTTGTTAAATAATTTAAATTTAAATAAAAAAATTAATTTATCTCACCAGACTCCCTATATCTCTATAATAAAAAAATTAATTTATCTCACCAGACTCCCTATATCTCTATAACTCTCTAATACGTTTTATTTATATAAAAAAAAAGAGATACTAGTACGATAACGGGAGAAGAAGGGACCAAAAAGAGTGATTTGACGTCGTGTTTTAATCAGGAAGTTGCGTAGAAAGAAGAATTATTTATACCAGGCAAGTTAATCTTGCATTGTACTCTTATATATATTTGTAACTTGCTAATGATTAATCTTGAAAACTTAATTTGTATGTTTTATTAAACTGTGGAAAAAAAAAAATTATTCTGAATGATAATTATGATTAGATTATTATAGTTGCGTAAGATATTGCCTGAAATTTAATTGGACGCAATTAAAAGAATTTCTTTATTACTAAAGATTAGATAAAATTTAATGAACCTTGTTTATTAATTCAATTAAAGTTGATTGGCTATGTTTGGATTATGTTAATAGATTGATTTATAAGTTTTTTTGTTTTTATGTTGCGATTTACTGATCTCACTCAAAGAATCAGAATGATCATTAACTGTTTTGTTACTGTTGTCAACTATTGGTCTGTTGTAATCTATGATGTATGGTTGGAGGATTAGATTGGAGAATTGTATATTGTGTGTATATATATAAACTTTGGATCTATATATATATGTATGATAATTTTTGGAGGTGTAACGAAAGCAAACATCTTTATATGCACACTTGTATATATGTTTAGATTTGATCAGTTGAGATTGATTATACATGGAAATAGGAATTGAAGTAGTTACTGTTTATATAGGCTGTTGGGTCAACTTCTTAAGATAGAAATTAAAACATATTGTAAAATGTGTATATATATATATTAATTGATTAATTCTGTTTGTTAATCATATGTAAATATATATGGGTTTCTTGGCACATTTGTTAAATATACAGTATTAATATATTATTATAGCATCTAAGATATTTATATATACACTGGTATATAATAATTTGATTGATGAGTATTTATGATTTAATTTGTCTATATGAATGTGTAAAAAAAAAAAAAAAAACAATTAATGCGTTTAAGGGCTGCTATGGGTTTCAATTACTTGTGAGCATTGAAATTCATTTAAACACTAAAATTTTCATGATTAGTTGTTTAAAATAATATTAGAGATTGAACTAAGAATGGAACGTGTTGTGTAAGATATTAAGAGTATAGATTTTGTTTTCTCACTGATCAGGTGTTATATATAAATTACACAATAATCAGTAAAATAGAATTATGAAATATTCTTTTCTATACTAGTTCATTATAATTAATGATTAAAGGATGAGTTTGGATTAGTCGGAGGGTAGTCAGGGACTGATCCTATGACTTTTGGGTATGGTCAAGGACCTATCTATTTGGGAGTGCACTACCCTTTTATTATGGCCATGGGTCTAATGAGTCCTTATTGTGTGGACGTGATCAGGGATCATCTGGGGAGTAGACGTACAATCCAGCCACACGTGTGCTTTTGGTAGTCAGGAACTATACGATTCACACCATTTTTATTGGACGAGAGCCCGGGGCTCATGTGAGATATGCCGATTTATTAAAAAATAAAAGATGATTATTTATTAAGTTTATAATTAACTGGGTTATACACATTTGAATAATGAACTTATTTGAGTTGCTTATATATATAGGAATATAAGGTAAGGTTAATTTGCTGAACGATGATTGTGTTTAGCATTTATTACTGAGCTTGTGAGCTCACCCCATTATCACATTTCAGGTACACGTTGAGTAGGAACGTGATGGGATTACATGATGGTGATGGATTTTGGCTTGTTTGTTGCATTCTTTGGTTTAGTTCAATTTTCGCATTGTAATAAAAATGACGATATTTTTTTTTTTTTGAGAGTTAGTTCATTTTGTCCAGTTATCATGGATTATTTTTGACAAGGTTGTTTGATATTATGGTTGTATGGATTTAATAAATTAGAAGGTGGTTTTCATCTACTTCTTTATTTAATTATTTCTATTGTAAAGTTGTGGATGTGTAAGAAAAGTCATGTCAAATCTTAATACGAGATAAGAGTACATGTATTTAGGACTTTGGGGCGTGACACAATGTATCTTCTGAAATTTCAGAAAATTCAAAGGAATGAAATTGTCATTTTGAATCAGTCAATAGAGCATGTGTGAGTCTCAGGTCGTTGAGCTCTTGGAAAATACGACTGCTGAGTTGGGACGACCATTACCTGAGTCTCGTTTCACCTAACGGGCCCGTTGTTTTAAAAAATCCCCTTATAATTGGAAAATTTAATACATTGCGACCTCAACCTTGGCCCGCAGAGATAGTGGGGCCCTATCAATTTTTTTGCCCAGAGACTCGTCTTTTAATAGGCTTTTTTTTTTTTTTTTTTTTTTTTTTTTTTTTTTTTTTTTGGTATAGGATTGATTTGACATTTATTCTTTTTTAAGAAAATGGTCATATTTTAGATCATTTGGAGGTCATATTTGGTATAGGTCACGTTTGGATTATGGGCTTTCAATTCAAAATATAGCCGTTTGGCTTAAAAACAGGCTCTTTAATGCGTTGCTATTTTGGTCGCTATTTTTTAATTTTGCTATTTCTTATATCAATTGTAACACAAGTTATTTCAGAGAGAGAGAGAGAGAGGGGGGAGGTTCAGATATATATATATATATATATATATATATATATATATATTAAAAAGATCATAAAAAATTTCACCAAATAGAATTTAGTTTGCAAAACAAGAATTACAGACCTTGTTTATAGAAAAAAAAAATTTAATAAATAAATAAAAATAAAAATAGAATTACAGACCTTGATCATAAAATAGAATTACAGAAAAAAAAAAATTAATAGCAATTGCAGAGAGAGAGGAGGGCAAGCTTGAGAGTTGAGAGACAGCGGCTTAAGCTTGCGAATGGCGAACCCGAACTGGAAAAGCAGGCGATGGAAACTAAAAGATATGGGTTTTTATTTTTTGAACAATCTGAAATTATATGGCCGATATGGGTTTTGATATAGCTAATAGGTTTTGAACTTTTGATTCTTGCATACAGATAGATAAACTTAAATATATGGGTTTTGAACTCCTGATTCTTGTAGATTTTGTAGTTTGCAGTTGGAGAGAGAGAGAGAGAGAGGGCGCAAGTTCATATCAGAGAACAAAAATAGAGATAGAGGCGATTGGGGAGGCTGAAATGATTTGCCCTAATTTTTTTAAAAAGATCTGGGCCATTGGATTGTGTTAGTATAAAGTGGGTTCATTCGGTGTGATGCAGCTGCATGAGGATTTAGTGTGCCAATGATTTGTTTTTTTTTTTTTTTTTGGTCCTTTTTTGACAAGATATTTATATATATATATATATATATATATATATATATATATATATATTTTTTAATTAGGTTTAATTTTAGCTTCCTTCTAATTTTTAGAACTTGACTTGGAATATGCCTAATATTAATATTAGTGATACGAATATGAATGGTGGGAATGTTAGTTAAAAAAGAATGATGGTTGTGTTAAAAAATAACATTTTGTATGAAATACACCATTGAAACAGAATTACTAAAATATAACATTTTGACACTGATAACACTTGTCAAAATATAAATTTGACATGCGAAAATAACTTTTAACATTGGAGATGCTTTTAGATCTCTCTGTTTGCCGAGCAACAGTCCGCCCTACACCAAACAACTTAAAAGAATATTTTTTAAAAAAAGTTACCTGTACTTGGCCATCATCCCTTTTTTGTCTTCCTATATTTTTCGCTGCTTTTGTTTAGATACCTCTTGTTCTTCCCCTTCCACTGTGTAAAGTTGATTTTATGAATGTTATTCTTAAATTGTAATGATCTTTGTTCCACAAACAATCTTATTCAACAATACATTGACAATGTCTTTATTTCCTTTCTCCATTTACGTACATGTATTTTTTTTTATTTTTTAAATGTAAAGAAATTAGCACAGTTGAGATCTCTTGGTCGCTAGAGAGAAAAAAATTTAAAAAATCAAAATTAAGGTTCTGAATGATTGTTAATCTGTTTCAGAAAAACAATAATATAACTTATTTTTGCCAAGAGAAAGGGAAACAAAAAATTTGATTCCCCATTTGAACTCAAACAGTGGAATAAAAACAAATAAAAACACTGCAAAACAACAACGGAAATAAACTTCTGTATCAGTTGTTCTAGATTGAAAGTGTCATTTAAATTTGAGATGTTTTGTAATGCCCTAATCTCTGCAATGGGACCACTCATCCCACCACACCATACTTGGCATGACCAATTTGATATTCACCATCCATTGCAAAATATCGAATGATTAATTTAAATTATCTACATCAAATCAAGCCTTACAAGAACCAGCATAAAGGTTTTCAAAACATTCTCAATAACAATAACAGGGAAAACACGAGTTCATAACTACATTATTCCTCTCACTTCAAAACATCCACAACAACAATAACAGGAAAAAGCACAAGTTCGTAATTACATTGTTATGAAAACACAAGTCCATAATTACATTATTCTTCACAAATCAAGTTTATCATACTAGAATCAGAGAAACAAGACTAAAGCAAAGACTAAAGCAAGTACGACGAACATTCGCTGAAATCTCAATCTTACTTCATTGGTGCCTTACCTGGAACATTGAAAAGAGAGTGTCACAGCCCAGCAATCATAGCTCTCACAAGTAAACTCGTACCATACCAGAATAATAATTGTACGATATATTAATACACATATATCATAATAATGTGGATGCGTTACTAGTATAATTTACATCTTGGTTCAATATATTATGAAATAAGTCTATTGACTAACTGTTAAATGAAACAAGTCTATTGTAGTCCACCCGTAATAATACATACTTATATTCATGTCATGGTATAACCAGAAGGCCCAAACACATTCTATAATTCAAGCAACTTGCTGCATACATATATTTAAACTTGAGGTTAATCATGGAAGATGCATATAAATTCAATATCAACTCAAGATAATTCTTACATCTACTAAGAAATGTATAAAATATATAAGCACAACACAGATTTACTGGTCTATTACAACATGCCACTGTGCATACACATATTCATATCAGAAAGTATGTCAGCTGGGTTCAAAATAAAATAAATTTCTGCAGAACTTGAAAGTAAGCTTCCTAGACTAGATCCATCATCAGGACAAGAACTGCAGATTCTAACTCAAATCAGAATAGATAGACATGTTGAATAAGATAGGGTATTTCGGAAATAAGTATATTATTGAACAACAAATTGTTTACACCCTTATTTTCCACTTTCCAGTCGGAGATTACCCTGGTCGACTTCAATGGAAAGGTACTACCACATTCTAGTGGAAAGTCTTGGGACACATGGCAATCAAGGAAGCAAGTGGTTACAAGTGGTTACATGCAAAGTCATGGGACACATGGCAGCCTAGGAAGTGAGTGGTTACCAGTGGTTATATGCAAAGTCATGGGACACATGGCAGCCTAGAAAGTGAGCGGTTACATGCAAAGTCATGGGACATATTACAGTCTAGGAAGCTGGTCGATTCCAATGGAAAGTTACTACGACATTTCAGTGGAAAGTCTTGGGACACATGGCAGCCAAGGAAGCAAGTAGTTACATGCAAGGAAGTAAATGGTTACAAGTGGTTACATGCAAAGTCATGGAACACATCCTAGGAAGTGAGCGGTTACATGCAAAATCATGAGACACATGGCAGCCTAAGAAGCTGGTCGGTCCAATGGAAAGGTACTACGACGTTCCAGTAGAAAGTCTTGGGACACATGGCAGCCAAGGAAGTAAGCGGTTACAAACGGTTACATGCAAAGTCATGGGACACATGGAAGCTTAGGAAGCAAGCGGTTACATGCAAGCTACTATTACTATATTCTATAAATAGAGCATGATATTGTAACTTAGAAGGCCTACTCAACGCCAAACAACTATGCATTTCAATACAATCTTTACTTTACATTGCAATGCACTTTCAATATGTTAGTCTTAGTCCTGCACTTTACTTTTCATTAAATAATTTTACAGTCTTTCCAATTACTTTCTCAATTCTTCCTAGCTAGTTAACTATCCCGAAGTCCTTTATCAAAGGCAAAAAGAACCCAGAGGTGTTCATTCCAGACCTCTTCACAATCGCCTGATCTCGCAGTCTTCCTTCTGCAATATTGTTTGGATCTCTCTTTGGAACTATTGCAGTTTCTGACACGCCCATCTGATTCCATCGAAACCGGCACCGGCTCTTTTCAGGCCAAACACAAATATGATATGGTTTTACATGATATGATCAGCTACAATACTCACAATGGAGCACAAGAAAGCAGAATGGCAAAGTTCTACAACATGAGGATACAATGACAATTCTCCTAAAGCATCGGTTTTACATGACAACCTTTTAAGTGGAGTGTAAAGGAAAAAAGACTAGCTCAAAAGCAAACAGTGACTATTTAAATAAAGCAAAAGACAATTTCCCATCTGCTGTGGTGGATGAAAAATAGGAGTAGGAGAGTTGGCTACTTTCCAGAGGGTTAGTAACGAGTAATCAAGCATGGATTCATGGTTCAGTCTAAAGCAAAGAAGAATGGTTTCAAATCAACACATCAGTCCCGAGATATGTACTAATAATATGAAAATGTTTGCATAGTTTTATCCTCTAAATTTCAAATTAAGAAGCTAAGAATTTGATGGTGGTGCTGTCCAAGAAAACCACATTAAAGATGTACAGTTATACTGTATTTCACGAGATAGCTCACGTTGTATCTCCTACTTTTTAAATGAAAGATTGAGGATTCAAACCTTGTAAAGGTTATTGTGAATGTATTTGTGACTTGGGTGCATGACTAATTTACCCATAAAAATAAAATAATAATAACAACAACAATAATAATACTTCAAGAGCTGTTCAAATCCCACTAGTTATCCACAACGAAGTAACAGATGCCCAAGCAGACTACATAGCCAAAATCCATTTTTTAAACCTAAGGAGGCATGAACAGTGTTACACAAGTCCACTTATCATTAATTTATTGTACTAACATGTGTGGGCAGCATTAAGGAAATCACACAATGATAAGAAGCGATAGTGTTGCTTAACATGCTAACAGAGGTAGTGAGTAGTGTTTCACTTTGAATTTTAACAATGCAGGTGAAGTGAAAGTGGAGGCAGAAGCGGCAAAGTTGCCTAAATGAGGTGGATCTGGCAAAGGCACAATCATATTATTGTGGGTTAAATGTCATCTGTCAAATGGCAATGGTGGTAGTAGTGGGATGTCACAATTTGGTGAGGGTTGACGGAAGTGGCTCTGCTGTGAAAAGTGGCAGCTAGTAATTACTTGGATCAAAACTGTGGCAGTGGCAAAAACCATAATTGTAGCAAATGTTATGTTATAATTGCAATTGAATGTCTTGTAAGTGGCAGTAGAATGGGTTGTATCTATATCTTTTTTTCCATCTGTATTTCTTCTCAGAAGAAGAAAACAAAAACAAATAAAGTTATAAACATACCTGAGGTTCTACACCATTTTCTCACACCAAGGTTTCTCAATGGTGGAGACTGGAAAGCCAGTTAAGATTTTTGTCTTCTTTAAGAACAGTTATCTTTCCATTGTTGAGATGAATCTTAAAAGGTTCCCAAAGATTGACAGTCTCTTCATCGCATATCACATCCTTTAAATCCTCAAGATCCTTTACTGATGGTGGCAAGTGATCCATTTCACAACCTCTCATGTTGAGCGTTTCCAGACCACGCAGCTCACCTATCCGTATTGGCAATTCACTGATGTTTAGGCAATCAGATATGTCAAGGATCCTTAATTTATGGAGGCTTACAACTGACTCTGGCAAACCCTTTAGTCCAGTACAGTAATGAAGCCTCAGCACTTCTAAATTTGTTAGCATTCCAAGTTTTGGGGGAAGAGCAACCAGGTCATTACATTTAGTGATGCTGAGCTTCGTAAGGCCGATAAGATCACAAAGCCCCTCAGGCAGTTCCACCAGATCATTGCAACAGTGAATATCAATCTCCACAAGATTTGGGAACATATGGGCGAAGTTGAAGGTACAGTTCGTAAAGGTCTCCCCAATTTTACACATATCCAAAGATATCTTCCTCAAATTCCTGAACTGTAATCTGGAATCACTAAGGAAAGAAACTGAAACATGCTCTAGTCTGATTCTCTTTAGACTGGATAAAAGACCAAGTAGCTGAAAGTTGCTTAGTTCAGCTGGGTAGAAACCATAATTTGTGATGATGAGAACCTTCAGGTGATCCATTTCCTCCATGAATTTGGGCAGGCTGTAGTTCTTTGTCTGGAAGTTCAATATTAAAACTTCAACTTCAGGTAGATGCTTGTATTTTTTGCCGTAAAGCAATGATTTGTATAGAAAAGTGAACCATCTTGAGGAGAACATGTTGTTCCAGCTTGAGGAGAATGTTTCATCTGCACGCATTGTCGAGATAGACAAGAGGCGGGCATGAAACGGCTGTATTTGTTCAATGGACCACTTGGGGGGGTCATTTCCTCTTATGTCCATAATTAATCTTTTCCTCTGTTCAGTGCACTCTTGGTTGTTCTGGTAGATGGCCAGATCTCTGAGCAGATCATGCTGCGTGACAAAATGCTCATTATAGTATCCATCAATCCCACTTGCATCTTTCCTGTGAATGGGAGTAAAATAGATGGCTTATGAAGGAATTCAATTTTTAGGAATACAGTAATAGCAAATATCTAGTGTCATTTCTACTCCAGTTTGGGAAAAACTAAGAACAAAGAAATTCAGGCATCCAAGAGATGACTGACAACAAAATAAGGATAAATAGTTGCTGGAATATCCCAACAGTTCAAAATTCTGATACATTTCCTCTTATGAAATTCTCTCCAAATATAGTTGATAAAAAACTACTCCGTAAAAGATTGAATGGAGAAATTAAGAAGAAACAACACAAGGATATAAGTGGTTTGGCCACTACAGCCTACATCCAAGACAACAATGCCCAAAGTGCTCCATCACTTCTATTATATTCTCTATTGGTTTTGTTTACAATTTGGAGGATTCCTAAAATCAATCCCACAAATCACTCATATCATGATATTCTATCAATTACCTTATGTATGAAAGTTCATAAAAGACTACCATCATCATCATCATAACAATAATACTAATAATAATATGTTGATTGATAACACGTCATAAAAGCTAAGGACATTATTATTTACCAAGTTAACAGCAAGTTGATCTATAAAGTAAGACCAAAGGTTCAAGTCAGAGACCAGCCAAATTGTGCAAATAAGACAAAATGTTAGTTTAGGTCTATTTCCACTACATCCTTCCCAACATCTAGATGAACGGGGATTACAATAGGTGCTTGCCTTTTTGAATAACAAGGTGTTGTTTTTCCAGCCACTTGAAAAAGCTAAATTTATCCTATTTTGCAATGCATCACTATCTAGGGTCATATCATCAACTAGGCCATCTTAACCCATCTTAAATGACTTCCTCTAATCTTGCCTCAACTGGGTGCTACCGCTGCTTTATCACAATTACATTGATGTCTTATTCATCTTAGGTCTTAGCAATAAGCACATGCTCAAACTACAAACTAACATGCAGGTCCTATTGCTCTGGTGAACTGGCAGATGTCCGGGATTCCACGCTTCCACCCCCCCAACACCATGCATAGGCTGGTCCATCACTGGGTGATGGGCATTCACAAACTAACATGCAAAAATCATCAAATAAACATAATGTGATCACTTTACAGAAAAATAGGAGCCTAAAATACCTTGTCAACAAAAGATTAACCAAATTACGGGAGGCTAGTTCATGGATTTTGGAAAGGGCATCTATGCTAATTTCATCCGGGTTGTACAGTTCCATCCACATATCCATTAGAGCCGTTGCAGGGATCCTCTGATCTTCAGGAAATAAACATAGGTCCAGGAAATACTCCTTGACATCAGTCTTTTTGTTCAAGGCATCTATGCTGGTTGCGAGACGAATAAGCAGATCACCGTGGGAATCAAAAATGGATTGTCCTTTAGACCATTGCTCCAGTGTACGTTCCCAGATCACCTCCTCTTGTCCACGGAGTGATCCACCAACCACTGTAAGGGCTAGTGGGGATCCCCTACAGCTTCTCACAATCTTCAATTCGATGTGACAAATTAAATCAGTTGCAGTTTTTTGTAAAGAACAAAATGTAATGCAGAATTTCAGATAAGTAAATACAAGCTCTACTTCTTGATCTTCACTTAAGAGATGTAACTAATGCTGATTTGCGGACAAGTAGCCAAAGGTTCTACTTCTTGATTTTCAATTAAATGGATTTAACCAATTCACAGTTGCAGAAAATAAAATATTTTTATATTAGTTTGTGTGGAAAAGTTGAAAATACATTAGTAAAACATGCAAGCATAACTACACATCTATATGTGCAAACACGTGATTTTAACAGATGAGAAAAAACAAAAATAGTAACTCATGCCCACCATCGTCTGTATTTTACCTCGTGGACAAGATTGTCTTGTATGGTGATGCTCCTACCATGCCGAAATGCTGAGTGACGAAAAAGAGCCATGGCATCTTCATCATTCAATGGTTTCAATTTATATGTTGAATCGAATCTAGGAAATTCAGATCTTGATGTAACCAATATTCGGTATCCAGGAATTTTTTTCTCGAACTTCTCAATAAGGGATTCTGATCCAGGCCATGCATCATCCAAGACCAACAATATAGGATCTGGTCCTATTTCCTTCAACAAGTTTTCTAGTTGGATGATTGTGTCATCATCACTTTGAAAATTGGGCACCGGAAAACTCCTATGTTGAAACATTTTCTGAACAATGACGTTGAGGTTGGGTGTCTTTGAAAAAGTGACAAAGAAAATATTGTTCCTAAATATGCCTGTCAAAAGATGGCATTACAAAATCAGCTAGAAGGAGAAAGTAAAACATCATTATAAGTTTTGGAAAGTTCATAGATAAAAATTTCTGCACTAAGCTTGGAAGTTTGTCAACAATTTCATCTTTAAAACTGATGAAGAACAATACAAGTATGTGTCCCGGCAGAAACTATACAACCACTTCATTCAAATAAATGCAGCTAAACTTACAAAGGATTTATTTTTCAATCATGACATAGATTTAAAAGTTTTTCGATAAATTTAGCTAGGATGGCTCAATTTGATACAGGCACATCAAAGAATTTATTTGCAAACTATTAGATCTCATTTGGACTGAGGGTTTTAAAATGAATGGATTCAAGTTTAATTCTTTAAGCACTTTAACCTAATTTAGATTTAGGCTACCTTGAATTTAAGATCCTAATAAATTATATATCTTCCCCTATCACTAAACTAGCATCATCTCCCTTTCATTTCAAAGTACATTTGAGTCTATCACCAAATTAGACATAAAACAAAGGGACGATACCTTTAATTTCAGCATCCTGACAGAGCATGCTCGCTAATGTTGTCTTCCCACATCCTCCCGGACCCGAAAGCACAACCACCTTTGCATCTTCTTCTTTTAGGTCCTTTCGCAACACCATCGTCCTCAATTCGTGAAGAGGCACATCCAATCCAACTGTAAATTCTGGAGCTGGAGCTCCACACGCACTCGGACCACAAACCCGTCTGTTCAATATTGAATATATCTCATTAAGCTTCACCAGAATTTTTTTGTTGTCCCTTATCTGCACAACTTGCCCAGAGGTTTGAAAGAATTTCACAAGAGAATCTTCCAATTTTTTTATTTTTTTCGACTTGGAAGCCCTCTTGAAGATATTCCAACGCCGGGTTTTCGAGCAGCTGCCGATGAGATTTTGGGACTCTTGCTGACGATCGGTCAACATTTTGGTTTCTTCCTCGGGAACGTCCAATTCTCTGCCAAACTCCTCAATCTCACGTATCATTGGTTCCATTAAATTCACTCTTGATTCGAAACCTTCGAGGTTTTGATCGTACTCCATGACTTCGTCTATGTACTCCAGAACAGCTTTCAGTAACACACCAGTTGATGCTCCCAAAAGAGCCCCTTCAACGAGACCCGCCATCGACTCGATCGTTTTTCTCTCTGCAGAGAAAGAAAAAACCCAATTCACTAAACCTTCAAGAGGATTTGAAATGGGTTTCTGAATCTTCAAGAGGAATTGAAAAAAGGTTTTTTGAAAATCAGGAGGAATTGATTTGAAAACGGGTAGGTTTCTGAAAATCAAGAGGAATTGAATTGAATTTAGGTTTCTGTTCTTGTTTTTTGGTTGCAATTTCAGAAGTTGCTCTTATTTTTCCAGGGAAACTTCCTAGTCTGGAGAAATATTATGACTGTTGACAAACCTTTTCTATATTTTATGGGCAATTTGGAGGGAACCGAAATATTTGTGGGAACAACTCAGGTGGGCTTTAACCCAAAGTCAACCCAAATTTTTTGGGTTTGGGCAGCTTTAGTTTTATTTGAAACAGCAAAAAATGAAGGGAAGCCGACAAAGGAGGTGAATTTTCGACAAGTTGGGCATAACTTGAGCTTAATATATTTGTCAATTATTTTGTTGAAGTAGTTGTGAATTAATCCGACTTTTTAATTTGAAATATCAATTCAAGTAAATCCAAATTTAAGATATAGTTAAACTTGAGTTTAGGGTCAAGTTAAAATTATTGGAATTCAACATTTCATAAATGAATTCGAATTTTTACTTGAATTGCAGTCCTAGCTCTACACTAGTTCAAATTGAAAAGTTTATTTACACAGAAAACCTCTCATTATTTAGTATTATTATTATTATTTGAAAGTTAAAGCAATTGAAAATTTTATTTGCACAAAAAAAAAAACTCTCATTATTATTTATTATTATTATTTTAAAGTTAACATAATTACGTACACACTTTATTTCCACCGAGATTCGAACCCCAATGGTAATACTATTGGGCCAATTAGCACTTTGATTATTATTATTATTATTATTATTATTATTATTACAGTTGGTAGACGGTAAAATCACCTCATCTAATATTCCAACAAATAAGAAGTCACGTGGAATAAAAAGTCACTTTTGTAATAGCAGAAACATACTTAACGTAATTTTATTATTATTATTATTATTATTTTTCTTACGAAGTATACATACATATACATGTATACAATGTCTAATTTTGAAACCCATTTAATCTTTTTTGGTCAGTCACTAAATAGGATTGAGAATTTTTGCTCTAAGTTAAGACTTCATGTCAATCTCTAACAAATATCAAGTCTTTTGCTTGTTAATCTTAATCATAAACTATTTCATTTATTACTATTTCATTTATTTTTTTCACAAGTAATAAAACTAGAAAATAGATGGTATTTTTGGAGAAAAAATACTGAAATAAATGCATTCTTGTTTGATGTACTATTACAAGAAAGATTTATATGATTGACTTACTCTTCACAGAAAGAAAAACCCAATTCACTAAAAATCATGAGGAATTGAATAATTCGAGAAAAAATAAAATGAATAATTCTGAATCTTATGTTTCAGAAGTTTCTCTGACATTTCCCCGAAATTCAATAATTCAAGAAAAAATAAAAAGAAATAAAAACATTTGTTAGTAGAGGCCGAAACTTCCTTAATCCATGACCTGTGGAAAAGTATGACTACAACAAACCTTTTCTCTATGTTATGGCGGGGAGCCGCAATATTTGACATGTCATGCTAATATGAAACGTGAGTATGAGTTTTGTTTTATTATGTTAAAGTTTTGTTGATTTGAATTGACACGTTTATTAGTTTGTATTTAATCTGACAATTTATTTATAATTCAATTAGAGCCGTTTAATTTAACACATTGAAAAAAAACTTGTCAAGTTGATATTGATTTGAATAAAATTTTAATTAAACTTATCGTACCGATTCATCTATTAAATAGATTACACTATGTCTTATCATGAAATATTCCTATTGTGTTTACATTTATTCATATATAATTGTATCATATGTTGTATTTGTGTCTAGGATAGTTATGCCTTAACACGAGATGCCAATATGAATTATCACCTCTAAGAATGCAGCTCAATAAATGGGCTGCAACTCCAAACCAAGAGTAAATAATGAAGGGAAGTTGATTAAGGGTGTAGACTATCTCAAAGGAGAATTGGGTTTACGGATCTCCAATTAATCATTTTTTTCTCTCTCATCTAAACTAATAAAAAAGCAATGTTATTCTGAAAGCTGTCTGGTGACAAGATTATTTAATCTGAGATAATATTTTGAGATATATAAAAAATTAAATAAGTTATTTAATAAATTTTTTAATTTATTGATTAAACAAGGAGAGCTGGTTCTCTTATAGCATTACCCACTAACAAAAGTACACAAATAAGGCCAAATCTGGGACAAACAGTTAGTTGTATTTTAAAATGACAAAAATATCCTTTTTATTAAAAATAATTAAATTTTTAAAGAAAGGAAATTAAATAATGGGGAGCTTAACTTATTAAAGAGAATGACGTCATTTCGTTATAGTCCTGAGTCAATCTCTCTTGCCATTCTCTATTAAATTAAAGAACATTATGATAGAGAGCCAATGTTATTTGGTTCACGGCCGTGACATTCATGGGTGTACATAAAATATTGAAACTTAATGGAAGTGTAGGTGAAATATAATAAAAAATCAGAGGTGTTGGTGGAATTTACCTTTAAACTTTTTTTATAATTTGGTATAGGATTTGACATTTATTCTTTTTTAAAAAAACATCGCAGGTCATATTTTAGATCTCTCTGTTTGCCAAGCAAGAATCCTTTTTTTTTTTTTTTTTTCTTGCTATTTTCTTGCTGCATTTGTTTTCCAACAAGATATCATCTCTTTTTTTTCTTCCTATTCCGACGAATCCAACCGCTACCTAACAAAATATAGAGAACTCTTGTCCTGCCACTTTCACATGTAAAGTTGATTTTTTGAATATTGTTCTTAAATTTCAATGATCTTTGTTCCACAAACAATCTTATTCAACAATACGCTGACAATATCTTTGTTTTCCTTCTCTATCTTTAATTTAGGTATATATATATATATATTTTAAATGTAAAGAAATTAGCACAGTTAAGATCTTTTAGTCGCCAGAGAAAAAAAAATTTAAAAAATCAAATTAAGGTTCTGAATGATTGTTAATCTACTTCAGAAAAAAACAGTAATATAGCTTATTTCTGCCAAGAAAAAGGGAAAACAAAAAATTTCATTGCCCATCTGAACTCAAACAATGGAGTCAAAAAAAAAAATAAATAAATAAATACATCAAAACAACAACGCAAATAAACTTCTATATGAGTTGTTCTGAGATTGAGCCTATCATTTAAATTTGAGAAGATGATTCGTCATGCCCTAATCTCTACAATGGGACCACTCATCCCACCCCACCACAATTGGCATTACCAAATTCATATTCACCATCCATTGCAAAATATCGAATGATTAATTTAAAATAACTAAATCAAATCAAGCCTTACATGGATGAACATAAAGGTTTTCAAAACATTCTCAATAACAATAACAGATAAAATACGAGTCCATAATTACATTATTCCACTTAGAAACATCCCTGATAGTGCAATAAATTGTTCTTTATATTCAGAAAGTAAATCTGATACATTTCAATCAAATGCCTTACATTTTTGCTCCTTCTATTTATAGAAGTCTTTTCTTGCCCTAATAACCTCTTGGGCCTTTCTAGTCCCTAAGATAATATGCGCTTAGTCCTTCCTCAACGGGCTCCTCCTTCGCTTGGGCTGATCCCTAGGTCAAAACAGGCCTTACATGAGAAAGGATGGACTGGGAGGTTGCTGGGCTTCCTTCTTAAGTGCTGGGCTGGGCTGGGCTGGACTTGGCCCAGCAGGGTTTTATGCCCCTTCAATCCCCAACAAAAATATGTTAAATAACAAGAAAACAAACAAGTTCCTAATTACATTGTTATGAAAACACACGTCCAAAATTACATTATTCCTCACAAATCAATTTTATCTTACTAGAATCAAAGAAACAAGACTAAAGCAAGTACAACGAGCATCCGCTGAAATCTCAATCTTACTCCATTGGTGCCTTACCTAAAACATTGAAAAGAGAGTGTCACAGCCCAGCAATCATATAGCTCTCAACGAGTAAACTTGTACCATACCACAATAATAATTGTACGATATATTAATAGACATATATCATAATAATGTGGATGCATTACTAGTATAATTTACATCTTGGTTCAATATATTATGAAATAACTCTACTAACTAACTGTTAAATGAAATAAGTCTATTTTAGTCCACCCGTAATAATACATACTTATGTTCATGTCATCATGGTATAACCAGAAGGCCCAAACACATTCTATAATTCAAGCAACTTGCTGAACACATATCTTTGAACATAAAGTTAATCATGGAAGATGCATATAAATTCAATATTAACTCAAGATAATTCTTACATCTATTAAGAAATGTATAAAATATATAAGCACAACACAGATTTACTGGTCTATTACAACATGTCACTGTGCATACACATATTCATATGAGAACGTATGTAGACATATATAAATTATACTCTACTGCTCTACTCCATGTTATACCAATTTCAACCAGATTCTAATTAAATGATGTATCATGTAATCAAAGTCAATCAGCTTTATCAACCTGGGATACGAACCTATCTAATATAATTCATCTAACATGTTACACAATCGTTGATGTTATAGGTCATAGTTCCACTTGCTTGTTAGTTTCCTAAAATGGTTTCACTCTCTGGTCTCAGTAGAATTTCTCTTCCACGCTTCCTAGTTAAAGGTTCTTTTCGAAGAAAGTTATATATTTTGTCTTTTCGGGATGGTTTCACAATATATAGCCAAGGTGTGTAACTAATCGTGCAACGGTTCCAAAACATGTTTACGTGCATGAAACAGACTTCTACTCGTGTGCTACAATGATAGCTTCTACTTATGTCCTAGGTCTTTTGAGAGTTAAGCATGATAATGACTCCACTTCTATGCAAATAGATATTAGTTGCAAGCTGCATACTGTAGGATAATGCTGTGTGTTGTAATCATTCTAGTTAGATTCCAGTCAGGAACACAACCCTCAAGTTTGGATGAAACACACTAATAACTTGTATCAGCTGAGTTCAAAATAAAAAATATTTCTACAGAACTTGAAAATAAGCTTCCTAGATGAGATCCAGCATCAGGACAAGAATTACAGATTCTAACTCAAATCAGAATAGATAGACATGTCGTTGAATAAGATTGGGTATTTCGGAAATGAGTATATTATTGAACAACAAATATGATATGGTTTTACATGATACGATCAGCTACAATATTCACAATGGAGCACAAGAAATCAGAATGGCAAAGTTCTACAACATGAGGATAAAATGACAATTCTCCTAAAGCATCGGTTTTACATGACAACCTTTCAAGTGGAGTGTAAAGGAAAAAACGACTAGCACTAAAGCAAACAGTGACTATTTAAATAAAGCAAAAGACAATTTCCCATCTGCTGTGGTGGATGAAAAATAGGAGCAGGGGAGTTGGCTACTTTCGAGAGGGGTAGTAACGAGAGTAATCAAGCATGGATTCATGGTTCAGTCTAAAGCAAAGAAGAATGGTTTCAAATCAACACATCAGTCCCAAGATATGTACTTGTTGGAAATCATATTTGTAGGTTGACTCAATGATTGTGGCAGATTTATTGGGTCTTTATTATAGGCAATTGTTTAGGGATTTGATTTTTATTCTAATTTGATTTTTATTCTCTTTCCTTATTTGTAATTTTCCTCTTGTATATAATGATAGTCAGACTCTCAAATTGAGTACGTCAATTTTACTAAATTACTTTTTGGTATCAAAGTCTCAAACCTACGTCTCCCTACTCTCTCTCTCTTTCACCGCATCTTTTCATCTCTCTTTTTCTCTGTCTTGTCACAGCCCCTTCCCTTTTTCTTTCTTTTCTTCACAGATCCTCTCTTCTTCAGGCCACTGTTGCGACAGTCCTAGGGGGAGCCAATCTCCTCTAGGTTCGATCCCTGTAAAGGGTATTTCCTTAGTCTATGTCATGCACTAGGATCAGAAAACGTGTTTGCAATTTTTTGGGGCTGCCGGGATATTTGGCAGCATTTTCGGATCGGACCGCCGTGTCTCCGGCTTCTTGGTTTGATCAAAATCAGGTTTATACCTCCTTTATTTGAAATTATTGGTGATCTATTGAATTGTTCTATTTAATATTATGGCTGATTCAAGTAATAATAAAGAAACTCTCTCTTCGGCGCAACACACACTGGCTCAACGAGTTACTAGTGTACTGTTGAATGGCCGTAATTTTGGATCCTGGGCTCGTTCCCTCCGCCTTTATGTTGGTGGAAAAGGCAAATCAGGGTGGTTTTTTGGCACTGAAAAGATATTAGATATTAAAGATCCTAAATATGCTCAGTGGAATATGGATAATTGCACCATTTTAGGATGGATGTTTCATTCTTTGGAGGAACGAATTTATACTATATTCATGTTTTATGACTTTGTTCATGACTTGTGGACTGCTTTGAATCAAATGTATGCTCATTCTAGGAATAATGCTCGTATTTTTTAGTTATACCAAGGTATTGGTAAGGCCTCGTAGGAAGGCATGAATTTGTCTGTAGCTGATTACTTTGGGTATTTGAGATCTCATTGGGAGGAACTGGCTCAATATGAGCCTCTCAGTGAATTTCCTCCCGCAGCAGCCTCTCTTCTTCTCAAACGTCTTAATCGTCAGCATACCTATTAGTTTTTTATGGAATTATGCCCAGAATTTGAACCACTTAAGTCTCAGATCTTGAATGCATCACCAATGCCATCCCTGTTGGAAGCCTTTGCTACTGTTAATGGTGAAGAATGCAGGCACCGTTTAATTCAGCCCTCACTTATTCCTCTACTAGTATTTGAGCTTGCTGGGGATAGTATGGCTTTTGCAGCCAACTTTGGATCACGTACTTCTGGAGGTCAGATTATATGTCACCATTATGGAGGGGTTGGACATGTTAAGGCTCATTGGCTGCAAAAGCTATACTATCCCCAATTACTGTTTATTGATGATTATTCTCGTTGTACTTGGGTTTATTTATTGAAAAAGAAATATGATGTGCTTCTTTTATTTGCCCAGTTTCTTTAAATGATCAAAACTCAGTATAACACTGTTATCCGTAATATTCGTTCTGATAATGGACGTGAATATGTTTCGAATGAGTTCCGGACTGAACTTAATAAAAAGGATATTTTACATCAACTCACTTGCCCCTACACTCCTGAGCAAAATGGCGTGGCTAAACGCAAAAACCGTCATCTTATGTCTGTGGTCTGATGTCTTCTAAGTGGTATGCATGTGCCTAAATTCTATTGGCATATGGCTGTTCTTACAACTGCTTTTCTGATTAATCGTACTCCCAATCGAGTTTTGGGTGGTAAAGCCCCACTTCAGATTCTCCAGCCTGATTATACATTGTTTCACCTTCTACCTCGTGTTTTCGGCTGTACTTGTTTTGTTCATAACCGTAGTCCTTCTTATCATAAACTTGATGATAAATCTATTAGGTGTATTTTCTTCAGGTATTTTGCTATGTCAAAGGGTTATCGTTTTATGATCCTATAACATATGTATCATTCTCTTGATATGACATTTCATGAAACTGTTCCTTTTTATAGTACTAATTATGTGGTATAGGATTCTCTTTCTTGTGGTCTGGAGAAGGAGATCTCTCTTATTACCCATCCTATTCCTCTCTTTAAAAATCACACTGTCCTGGAATCTCCTTCTCCATCCATGCAGGGTTCCCCTCCGCCTTTGCAGGTCTACTTTTGTCGCCATCACACTCAACCTCCTCTGCCAGCATACTTATTAAAAGCCCAAGGCGCACTAAGGCGCTAGAGGTCCCTTGGAGCCTAGGTGCGAGGCGCATGGCGAGGCGCGAGCCTGAGTTATGTGAGGCACACAAGTACAATTTTAAAACAATAATTCTTAGCAAAACTAACACAATTAAACAATGAACATCCAATAATAAAAACACTAAATTAATCTAAATATATCACAATTAAACCAATAAAGCAACCAGTAAAATAGAACAATTAAACTAAGAAAGCTATTTATTCATAAGAAAGATTCAAAAGAAGCAAAGCATAAACCAATTAACCATATATTATAAATTTATACTTGATGTCTTAAGCAAAAGCTATCATTTGACTCCAAAACAGATCTATCAAAAGATACTTAGTAGCCTACCAAATCTATAAAGTATCATAGTCAATACTTAGTAGCCTACCAAATCTATAAACCAAGCAACAAAATATTAGTTTCAGTTTTGAGTTTTGACAAGGACTCCTAAAACCAAAGTTACCAAACAATCCTAAGGGACCTAAATATCATCCTCTTCACCAAACAACATAGTCTCATCATCGTCCCCATCAAAAGATTTGTAACCCTCAGCATCTTCTTCTTCTTCTGTCTCCTCAGAGTTTGCCTCGTCATCATCTATGATTCGTAGTGAAGGCGAGCATGAAGGTGTTGTCTTCTTTGTTGCCCTTGGAGCTGATCTTGATCTTAAATCATGGCTGGACTCTCCAGCCCCGGTAGCTCTAGCAACTGCACCCCATGTCAAAGAGTCATCTTCAAACACCAACTCATTTTCGGCATCTACATCTTCATCCATTACTCCAACCAACCACTCATTGCTATCATTAATATCATTTAAAAGGATGGGATCGATCCAATCACGTATGTCATATCATCGTTTTAGTGCTCTATTATACTTGATGAAAACCAAATCATTCAATCGACATTGAGTTAGCCAGTTCCTCTTCTTGCTATAAAGCTGCATTAATTCAAATAATTAATAAGTATAAGTGTATAACTGTTTATAATCTAATTTTTTATCATTGAATTACTAATACTACAAACTTACATGTTCAAATACACTCCAATTTCGTTCACACCTAGATGCGCTACATGTGAGGCTAAACACTTTAATAGCAAACTTTTGCAAATTAGGAGTTGTAGAACCATATGCAGACCACCAATCGGCTGTTATTTACATATTATTAGTAAAAAATTAACAAAATTAAAATTCAAATATACTAAAAAATGATTAATTGACTTGTTTACCTGGTGCCCTTGACTTTCTTTGTCTAACAGCAATTGATGAGCCAAATAAATCATCAGCTTTCATATATCTACTCAACTCCAAAGAAATTTTATCTTGCTCTTCAGTGGTTGGAACCAATCTTTCTATGCATTGATATAAACCACCCATCACCTTGCTCAATATTTAGATTGTTATAAAATTATTCTGGGTTCAAGAAATGCCCAACTGCATGCAAAGGGCGATGGAGTTGGATATTCCACCTAGTATCAATGATCTTAAAGATGTCCTTATACTTCTCCTCATTCCCACCAAAAGCTTTAGCTATCGCTTCTTTAGCCCTTTCCATAGCCTCGTAAATATATCCTATTGGAGGCCTTCTCTCACCATCAACCAACTTAAGTACACGAACAAGAGGGCTTGCTACTTTGAGAGAGTACACAATGCTTGTCCAAAATGTAGGCATCAACACAATCTGTGCTACATTTTTCCCTTCTATCTCTTTCGCCCATTTACTGGAGATCCATTCTTATGAAGTGAGCATCTTCCTCAAGCAATCCTTTTGATGATGGATGCTTGATAACGTGATAAATGAAGTGGTAAATCGAGTCGTTGCAGGTCTGAGCAACTCTTTATGTTCAGTATAACGCCTCATCATGTTCAACAAACCCGAACGGTTATAAATATAACCATTTAACATTATAGCTCTCTTTATGGTCCTCATTATATTTGGGATCTTAGCAATGTCCTCCAACATCAGGTCCACACAATGTGCAGCACAAGGTGACCAATACAAATGTCGGTGCCTTCCCTCCAACATTCTCCCTATTGTAAAGAAAGAAAATATGGATTAATAGAAGGCTAGAAGCAATAAACCTAAAATTTCCACATCAAGTACATATTTAAATTTATACCTGCCACAACATTAGAAGAGGCACTATCAGTGACTACTTGAATCACATTTTATGCTCTAATTTGCTGCACGAACTTGTTAAGCAAGTCAAACATTTTTTCATCGGTCTTTGAATAAGAGGAAGCATTAACAGATTGAATGAACATTGTCCCTTTAGGACAATTCACCAGAAAATTAATCAAACACCTGTGTCTTTTATCCTCCCATCCATCTGCCATAATTGTGCATCCGTATTTTGCCCATTCCTCTTTATGATCCCGCATTAAATTGTCTGTATGCTCCAGTTTTTTCTTGAGGAGGGGAACTCTCACCTCATGATAAGAAGAAGGTTTCATTCCTGGACTATGTTGGCCAATAGCTTCAACAACTGGTGCAAAACTATCATAATTAAGGGCATTGAATGATATCCCAGCATCATACATCCATCTTGCAAACCGTTGACATGCTCGGTTTCTAAGTTCTTTCTTGCAAGCATTATCAATTGTTGTTTGCTTACTCTTGTCATTTTTTCTATTTTGCACAACTACTTCCGGAGGAGGGGTGAAGTACAAATCAATAGGACCTTTCTGTTTTTGCTTTTTTGATTGAATATTACTGCTTCCAGTTCCACTTGCCACTCTTTTACCTTTAACATCAATGATTGTTACATCATCCTCATCTTGATCATCCATGTCATCAAAATCAGACAACAAATTTGTGTGTTCCTTTTCTTCTTTCTTCTTGCTCGTGTATTCTCTAATCTCTTCTTTCACATGTTCAGGGCACTTTTTACATGCTTGTACATTTCTATATCCCCCTACAATGTGTTGCTTAGCCCTATAAATACCTCCTTTCATAACTTTTTCACAAAAATTACACGTTATTGCATTCCTATCTTGTGGGTTTTGCAGGTGACAATAATTCCAACCTAGATCCTTTGACATTTTTCCTATCTATTTACAACGAGAAATAGAATGAAGTCAATGGACCAAGTTAAATTCAGCAACAAGCATTCACCAAACAAGCATTCAGGCAATGCAGCAAACAACATTCAGGCACAAACATTCAAAATTTAAATAATCTAGCAAATTCCAGCAAATAGCATGCAGCAAATTTCAGCAAATTGCATTCAAAAGAAGCTAAGAAGGGAGAAAAAAATGAGAGATAGAGATCCGAAAAAAATGAGAAGCAGAGATTGAAATAATAATAAAGAGATAAAGTAGATGAAGAAAAGAAAGAAAGAAAGCAAACACAGAGGAGTAGAAACTGATGATAGATATATATATACAGGGTAATGTTATATAACTTATATACATAATTATATAGAATTAATTGCGTGCTAAGGAGTCCAATTTTAGTCCAATTTTCTTTTACCATTGGCATGATCAGCGGCTAGACGAAGGGCATATATTTAGTCCATCATAGCACATCAGCATTTTAGGCTAGAGAGAAGGCTCAGAAAGGAGGAAAAAAAAAAATTACAAACACGAAGAAAAACAGAGACCCAGAAAAAAATAAAATAAAATAAATCAGATGAGAGAGAGAAGAGGAGAGGAGAAGAGAAGAGAAGAGGAGGAGGAGGAAAAAAAAAAAAAGCAGAGTACTGGAGTAGACTGTAGATGAAGGGAAAAAAAAAATTGAAGGGCATATATTTAGTCCATCATAGCACATCAGCATTTTAGGCTAGAGAGAAGACTCAAAAAAGAGGCAAAAAAAAAAAAATTACAGACACGAAGAAAAACAGAGACCCAGAAAAAAATAAAAATAAAAAATAAAATAAACTAGATGAGAGAGAGAAGAGGAGAGGAGAGGAGAGGAGAAGAGAAGAGAAGAGGAGGAGGAGGGCAAAAAAAAAAAAAATAGAGTACTGGAGTAGACTATGGATGAAGGGAAAAAAAAAAAAAAAAAAAAAAAATTAAAGGCCAGTTTGGCCGGAGAGAAGACAGAGAAAGGAGTAATCTGAAACTAGTAAATGAGGGGGGAAAAAAAATAGAGCCCCTAAACAGAGCTTGAAGAAAAAGAAAGAAAAACAGGGACCCAGAAAGAAGAAAAAAAAAATTGAGAAAGAAGAAAAATAGGAGAGCCAGAAAAAAGAAAAAAAAAAAAAACAGATGAGAGAGAGAAGAGGAGAAGAGAAAAGAAGAGGAGGAGGAAGAAAAAAAACTTAAATGAAATTACTGACCTAGGTTGTGGCATCGTCAGAGCAACAGATTCAGATTCCAGATTCCTCTCTTCTCTTCTTTTCTCTTCTCTTTTCTTTTCTTTTTTTCTTTCTTTCTCTCTATTCTCTTTCCCACTTTTGCCTTGTTGACTTTCCCACTCCATCATCACGTTTCTTCTGCAGATTTTTATTGATTGGATATGTTGCCTCACAAGATGACAAAATTCCAATTTTTACTTTTAAGTTTCCAAAGCTATATTTATATACTAAATATAATAATATAAACTATAATCAGTCAAACACAAAATATATGCTGCATAATACATGAGGCGTGCCCTCATACAACCTTCAAGGCGCAGCCCAGGCGCGTGCCTAGTGGAGGTCGCTGCGCCTGGGCTATTGTGAGGCGCAGTTGCTGCGTTGCGCCCAGGCGCGCGCCAAGGCGCGCTTTTGACAACCATGCTTGCCAGAATCATCTTCAGAACCAGGTCCAGGTAACTCTCCTTCTCCTGTGGCTCCTACCATTCCTGAACATACATCCCGTTATCCTACCCGTGATCGTCACCCTCCTAATTGGCATGGTTTCTCTAGTAACACTAACCACCCTATTTCCCAATATGTCTCCTATGATGGTCTTTCAGGTGCATATAATCCTTCCTGGGCAAGATTGGGACCGTTTCTATTCCTTGATCAGTGTCAGAGGCCCTCCAGGATCCCAATTGAGTGTCTGCCATGACAACAGAAATGAATGCTTTACAGTGTAATAATACATAGGAACTTGTTGCTTTACCTACTGGGGAGAAAACGGTTGGCTGCAAATGGGTCTTTACTGTGAAGTACTTAGCCGATGGTTCTATTGATCGGTATAAGGCTCGGTTTGTGGCAAAAGGCTTTACTCAAATTCTGGGCAAAGACTTTGGTGCTACCTTTGCTCCTGTGGCAAAGTTGACGTCTGTGCGACTGCTTATCACCTTGTCTGCTGCCCATTCTAGGCCTCTGCATCAGTTAGATGTCAAGAATGCATTTCTTAATGGAGATTTACTTGAGACTATATATATGGATCCACCCCCTAGATTTCGGGCTGAGGGGGAGTATGCTGGGAAAGTCTGTTGGCTGCAGAAGTCTCTTTATGGTCTAAAGCAATCTCCTAGAGCTTGGTTTAGTCATTTCAACGATGTTGTTCTATCCATGGGCTTTGTACGCTGCCACTTAGACCATACTTGCTTTATTCGACGTCGCTATGATAGTCGCTGCATTATGTTATTAGTATATGTGGATGATATCATTGTCACAGGTGATAATGCTTTAGGGATTGCTCAGGCGAAACTTCATTTTCAAAAGTCCTTTGATGTGAAGGACTTAGGCTCCCTTCGATATTTTCTTGGAATTAAGGTTGTTAGATCCCGTCATGGAATTTCCTTATCTCAAATAAATACGTTTTGGATCTTCAAGACACTAGCATGCTTGGGTGTCGACCCGCTTCCACTCCTATGGAGCCCAATCTTAAACTCTCTGTTGAGTCGGGGGAATTACTTCCAGATCCGTCCGTGTATCAACGTTTGGTAGGTCGTCTTATCTACTTAACTAACACAAGGCCCGATTTGACATTTGTTGTTAGTGTGGTTAGTTAATTCACGCATGCCCTCGCATAGATCATATGGATGAAGTCTATCATATTTTGAGGTATCTTAAGTCGTGCACTGGCCTAAGTTAGTTCTATGCCTCAGGAAATCAGTCTGGACTCTCATGCTTTACTGATGCAGACTATGTTGGATGTAAGACAGATAAACGTTCTACCTCTGGCTTTTGTACTTTCTATGATAATCATCTCATATTGTGGAAAAGTAAGAAGCCAGCTATCGTCTCCAGATCCTCTAATGAAGTTGAATACCAAGATACTTGTGAGCTCCTTTGGCTTCAATCAATTTTGGGAGAGTTGGGTCTTGTAGAGAAAGGTTCTTCAAGGCTATTTTGTGACAATAAATCAGCCATTATGCTTGCTTCCGATTCTGTCTTACATGAAAGGTCGAAACATATTGAAGGAGACACTCACTTCATTCGAGAGAAGGTTCGATCAGGTATCATTAATCCTATTTTTGTTCCCTTTTCATAACAGACTGCAGATGTGTTCACAAAGTCTGTTTGGCATTTTCTTCTCCAGTCTTCCATAGTCAAGCTGGGCTTAGTCAACATATTTGCTCCAACTTGAAGGGGAGTGTTGGAAATCATATCTATAAGTTGACTCAATGATTGTGACAGATTTATTGGGTCTTCATTATAGGCTAATGTTTAGGCTTTTGTTTAAGGATTTAATTTTTATTCTGATTTGATTTTTATTCTCTTTCCCATATTTATAATTTTCCTCTCATATATAATGATAGTCAGGCTCTCAAATTGAGTACATCAATTTTACCAAATTACTTTTGTACAAATAATCTGAAAATATTTGCATAGTTTTATCCTCTAAATTTCAAATTAAGAAGCTAAGAATTTGATGGTGGTGCTGTCCAAGAAAACCACATGAAAGATGTACAATAATACTTATAATGTAATTCACGAGATAGCTCATGTTCAGGGCCAGCTCCACCCTTAGACGATTTATTCGGTCGCCTAAGGCCCCAAACCAATAGGAAGGCCTCAAATTTTTTTTTATTTGTTTATATTATAAGCTTCCTAAAATTTTTATTTCCTTCCTATTATCAAACTCTAGCCAATAGAAAGGCCCAATAATTTTTATTTCCTTATATTATAACCTTTCAATTTTTTTTATTTGTTTATATTATAACATTTAAAATTTTTATTTTCTTCCCATTATTAAACTATACCGAATGGAAAGCCCCAAAAATTTTTATTTTCTCATATGGACAATACTTAGGTCTTCATGTACACCATCCTCACGGCTGATGTGAATTAATAAAAAATAGATACTTATCTTTAATTATCAAATCAGATATGGTGGGGTGCATCTTTATTTACCAAATTAGATATGGTAGGTAAATATACCATCACTGATTTGGTAATGAAAAAAGACATGTCCATTTTTTATTGGTCCACATCAACAGTGAGGCGTGACCAAAAGAGATTTAATAGTGGGCCCAAAAAATTTCTATCTTTATCCCACCCTTTTTTTTTCCCCTTTCTCCTCCTTATTCACATTTTTTTTCCCCTGGTATTTGTAAAACTTCCCATATTCTTCTTTTAACTTTTATCTTCTTTGTTTTTTTTTTTTTTTTTTACTTCTTTTTTCTTACATATTTTTCCTCCTTTTTCATTAAATTTAAGTATAAATTGTATAACTCTAAGATCAATTATGTGACAAGAAAAATTAATTGGATTGACTATATATTAGATATTAAAAGGTCACTATTATATTTTTTGCCTCAAATTATATTGAGCCGCCCTGCTCACGTTGTATCTACTACTTTCTAAATGAAAGATTGAGGATTCAAACCTTGTTAAGGTTATTGTGAATGTATTTGTGACTTGGGTGTATGACTAATTTACCCATAAAAATAAAATAATAATAACAACAACAATAATAATACTTCAGCAGCTGTTCAAATCCCACTAGTTATCCACAACAAAGTAACAGATGCCCAAGCAGACTACATTGCCAAAATTCATTTTTAAAACCTAAGGAGGCATAAACAGTGTTACACAAGTCCACTTATCATTAACTTATCGTAACTAACATGTGTGGGCAGCATCAAGGAAATCACGCAATGATAAGAAGCGATAGTGTTGCTCAACAGGCAAACAGAGGTAGTGAGCAGTGTTTCAGTTTGAATTTTATCAGTGCAGTTAAAGTGAAAGTGGAGGCGGAAGCGGAAGCGGCAAAGTTGCCCAAATGGGGTGGATCTGGCAAAGGCACAATCATATTATTGTGGGTTGAATGTCAGCTGTCAAATGGCAATGGTGGTAGTAGTGGGATGTCACAATTTGGTGAGGGTTGACGGAAGTGGCGCTGCTGTGAAAAGTGGCAACTAGTAATTACTTGGATCAAAACTGTGGCAGTGGCAAAAACCATAATTGTAGCAAATGTTATGTTCTAATTGCATTGAATGTCTTGTAAGTGGCAGTAGAATGGGTTGTATCTATATTTTTTTTCCATCTGTATTTCGTCTCAGAAGAAGAAAACAAAAACAAATAAAGTTATAAGCATACCTGAGGTTCTACACCATTTTCTCACACTAAGGTTTCTCAATGGTAGAGACCGGAAAGCCAGTTTAGATTTTTGTCTTCTTTAAGAACAGTTATCCTTGCATTGTTGAGATGAATCTTAAAAGGTTCCCAGAGATTGACAGTCTCTTCATCGCATATCACATCCTTTAAATCCCCAAGATCCTTTACTGATGGTGGCAACTGATGCATTTCACAACCTCTCATGTTGAGCGTTTCCAGACCACGCAGCTCACCTATCCGTATTGGCAATTCACTGATGTTTAGGCAGTCAGATATGTCAAGGATCCTTAATTTATGGAGGCTTACAACTGACTCTGGCAAACCCTTTAGTCCTGTACAAGAATGAAGCCTCAGCACTTCTAAATTTGTTAGCCTTCCAAGTCTTTCGGGAAGTGCATCCAGACCATGACATTTAGTGATGCTGAGCTTCTTAAGGCAGATAATATCACAGAGCCTATCAGGAAGTTCCACTAGATCACTGCAACAGTGAATGTTAATCTCTACAAGATTTGGGAACATATGGGCAAACTCGAAGGTACAGTTCTTAAAGGTCTCCCCAATTTGACACATAATCAAGGAAATCTTCCGCAAATTCGTCAACTGTAATGTGGTTTCACTAAGGAAAGAAATTGAAACATGCTCTAGTCTGATTCTCTTTAGACTGGATAAAAAACCAAGTAGCTGAAAGTTGCTTAGTTCAGCTGGGCAGAAACCATAATTTGTGATGATGAGAACCTTCAGTTGATCCATTTTCTCCATGAATTTGGGCAGGCTGTAGTTCCTTGTCCGGAAGTTCAATATTAAAACTTCAACTTCAGGTGGTAGCATGCTGCCCCACCTTGAGGAGAATGTTTCATCTGCAAGCAATATTGCACACATTGTGAATTGGGGAGAAAAAGAAATAAATACAATATTGTCTGAGGGGTTTCAAATTGAAAACATAAGAGAATCAAACCTGTAGAGATAGACAAGAGGCGGGCATGAAACGGTTGTATTGGTTCAACAAACCACTCGGGGAAGTCATATCCTCTTATGTCCATAATTAATCTTTGCCTCTGTTCTATGGGCTCTCGGCTGCTCAGGTGGATAGCCAGCTCTCTGAGCAGATCATGCTGCATGACAAAATGCTCATTCAACCCATCAATCTCATTTGCATCTTCCCTGTGAATAAGCTAGTAAAACAGATACCTTGTGAATAAATTCAATTTTTAGGTATGCAGTAATAGCAAATATCGTAGTGCCATTCCTACTCCAGTTTGGGAAAAACTAATAAATAATAATAATAATATGTTGATTGCTAGCATGTCAAATGAGCCAAGGACAGCAAGTTGAACTATAAAGTAAGACCACGGGTTCAAGTAGCTCCATTGGCCAGGCTAGACGGAGCAGACGTATACAGACCTGCTGCCCTCTCTTCTCAACCAAGTCCTTGCCATTAATTGTTCCACAAGAACGGCCATAGAGACCCTGTAAATCCGTTATTCTAGAAAGATCTTTCACTTAAAGGGATGACCAAAGCCTTTTTGTTAACCTTTAGAATACATGTAAAGATTGCTGACAGGGATGGGTTTGCATGCTTAGGGGAAAGCAGCCAAATTGTGCAAATAACACAAAATGTTAGTTTAGGACTATTTCCACTACATCCCTTCCAACATCTAGATAAATGGGAATTACAATAGATAAATGGGGATTACCTTGTAAACACGCGATTAACCAAATTTCGGGAGGCTAGTTTGTGGATGTTTGCAACGGCATGTATGCCGCCTTCATCCAGGTTGTACAGTTCCACCCATATATCCATAAGAGTCATGGCAGGGATCCTTTGATCTTCAGGAAATGAACCTAGGTCCATGAAACACTCCTTGATAGAATACCTATTGTCCAAGGCATCTATGCTAGTTTTGAGACGAGTAAGCAGAACATTGTTGGAATCTAAAACAGATTGTCCTTCAGACCATTGCTCCAGTGTATCTCTCCAGATCACCTCCGGTTCTCCACAGAGTGATTTACCAACCACTATAAGGGCAAGCGGGAATCTCCTACAGCCTCTCACTATCTTCAATTTGATGTGGCAAACTAAATCAGTTTCAGTTTTTTGCAACAAAAACAAAGTAATGTGTAATTGCAGATAAGTAAATACAAGCTCTACTTCTTGATATTCACTTAAGTGGATGGAACTAATGCAGATTTGCAGACAAGTAACAAAAGGCTCTACTTCTTGATCTACAATTAATTGAATTTAACCAATGACAGTTGCAGAAAAGGAAAATACTTTTAGATCAGTTTGTGTGTAAAAATTGGCGATACAATAGTAAAACATGCAAGCATAACTGCACATCTATATGTGCAAACATCTGATTTTAACAGATGAATAACAACCAAAATAATAAATAAATACGAGTGTCTGTATTCTACCTTGTGGACAAGATCCTCTGGCACGCTCATGCTCCCACCTTGCGGAAATGCTGAGTGACGAAAAAGAGCCATGGCATCTTGATCACTCAATAGTTCCAATTTATATGTAGAATTAAATCCTGGAAATTCAGATCTTGATGTAACCAATATTTTGTATCCTGGTATTTGGAACTTGAAGTTATGAATAAGGGATTCTGATTCAGTCCACACATCATCCAAGACCAACAATATGGGACTTGATTGTATAGTTTGTATTTGCTTCAGCAAGATCTCTAGTTGGTTGAGAGCATCATCATCGTTTTGAAACTCGGGCACTGTATCAGACTTATGTCGAAACATATTCTGAACAATGACCCTGAGGATGGGTGTCTTCGAAACCGTGACAAAGAAAATATTGTCCATAAATTTCTCTGTCAAAAGAAGGCACTGTAAAATCGGCTAGAAGGACGAAGTAAAACATCATTATAAGTTTAGAAATTTCATACATAAAAGTTCTGCACCAAAGCTTGGGAAGTCTGTCAACAACTGTATCTTTTGCAGTTAAAATTTGATTTTAAGAAAAAAAGAAACGACCAGTTCATGGTGAATCAGACAAGTATGGCCCCTGCAGAAATTATATAACCACTTAATTCGAATCAATGTTGCTAAACTTTAGAAGAATTTATTTTCATTCATGACATAGATAAATTTAGCTAGCACGGCTCAATTTGATACAGGCACGTCAAAGCATTTGCCAGTTTGAAAACTATTAGGTCTCATTAGCACTGAGAGATCTAAAATGAACGGATTCAAGTTTAATTTTTTTTTTTTTTTTTTTTAAGGAGTATAACTTAAATTTAGATTTAATCATTTAGAGTAAGCCTCCAACAAGATCCATATACCAATTTTGAGAGCTTTACAAGTGTGGATATCAAATTCTTTATATATTCCCTACCACTAATCTAAAATCAACTCCCTTTCATCAAAATCTACCACTGGTTCCTAATGCACATGAAATTCACCAAATTAAATTAGACACAAAACAAAGAGACAATCTTTACATTGATACCTTTGATTTGAACATCATGACAGAGCATTTTCGCCAACGTAGTCTTCCCACATCCTCCAGGAGCCGAAAGCACAATCACCTGTCCATCATCTCGTAGCAATCTCGTCTTCAATTCTTGAAGAGGCTCTTCCAATCCAACAATAAATTCTGGAACTCCTGGAGCTCCACATGAACCTACAAACGAATACATTCTATCCAATTTCTCATCAATTTTATTCACTGTCACAAGCATCTTCTTGCTGTCTCTTGCCTGCACAACTTGCATACCGGTCTCAAAGAAGTCCCTGAGCTTATCATCCAATTTTTGGAGCTTCGTTGAGTGGGAAACCTTCGCGAAGCAATTCCACCACTGGATTTTCGAGCACTTGTGGACCAGCTCCTCGGCCTCTATCAACCAGTCGGTCAACATTTTCATTTCTGCCTCCGGATTGTTCAATACTCTGTCCAAACTCACAATTTCACGTACAGTTGGTTCAATTGATCTCAGTCTAGATTCGAGTTTCTTGAGGATGGACTTGAAGTAGATGGTTTTGTCTTTAAAATCAAGAACAGCTTTCAGTAATCTATCAAATACTACTCCCAAAGCAACATCCGCCATCTGCAGGGAAAGAAAAAACCAAATTCGATCACTGAAAATCAAGAGGAATTGAATTGGGTTTCCTAATCTTGTGTTTTTGTTTTTGATTGTCTACTCTTTAGTAAAGTTGGGGTGTGAACTCTGTGAGAGCAAAATATATAATGAAAATTCTTGGAAAACACACAGCAAAAATGAAAAAAAGGAATCTAAAGACTTTGATTTGTATCAGTCAATAAAGCAAGCCTTGCTCTGTGAAATGGGGTCAAAACTTCCAACGTTGACGTTGACCTCTCGTCAATGCCACAAACAGTTATTGTGAATAGGTAAAGTGCACTAAACTCCTCAAATTATGATCCAATTGCAATAAATCCCTCTAATATAAAATTCCTTAAACTATTATTTTGTCACACTTAGGGGCATGTCATCAATGGGCCGTTTGTTTGGCTTCCGACGCATTACCTATTCTTCGATTTCTCATCTGTTCAATGAAGGTAGCATGATTCTTATGAGAATTTTCAACATCTTTTCTGTTGAATAATATATGAACAGTACCAGTAAAAGTTAACAGAAAAAGAAAATGGCCTTTTAACCTTTAAATTGAATGGCGTCGTTGGAAGTCGTATCTGACTTCAATTGCTGATGTGGCAAATACACTCTTAATGTCCAATAGAAACATGACAACATATTAATATATTTGCTAAACCGGGCATGAGCTAGGCTCACCCAAACCATCCGGTCCATCACAACAGCGAGTAAACCAAACCCATCAATATGGTCAACAACCCCTCACCACCAGACCATTTCTCCGTAACCCCTCCTCTGCCTTCACCTTCACTCATATTTCAAATTCCACCAATTCTAATTCCAATGCTACAATTTCATGCAGCCGAACACACCCCCAATCTATCACCAAATTAAATTAGAGATAAAACAAAGGGATGATACCTTTAATTTCAGCATCATGACAAAGCATGTATTAGGCGCTGAATGCTATACATTTTAACCCCTTAACTTGCATGTTTTATTCTCCTAGTAGTAGTTTTATTTGTGATTTTACATTATTTTATTGTTTTTATTTATTTCAAGGCTTTAATGAAAATATCAGTCAAGACCAGTGATTTCGGGCATTAAAAGATGATATCCAAGAGGTTAGAAGACCACATCCATAGGAAAGAGCAGTGATGAACATCCGAGTCTAATTAGACTTAGAAAAGAGTCCAAGAGAAGCCACAAGTTGATGAGAATGGAAAGAAGAAGAAAATGAAGAATCATTCTCCAACTAGGAAACTTTCTCCAAAATTGGTAACTTGAGTTTTGGTAATCCGTCTATATCTCTCTCCTCGAGTGTCAAAACAACTAAATTCACGCAACAATTGAAAGGAAATTTGAAGAGCTATAATTTTGTATTTCACGAGGATTTCATAAAACATATATTTACCTTGTCAAAACTGGGTTGGAAGTCTGTACGAATTTTGGAATCCTTGTTTGACAAAATTTCCATATATGTCTTCTATATGAAAAATGGAACTTTGGGGCTGATATTCTATTATTTAAAGGGAGTTTTCTACCTCATTAGGGGCATCATACAGAGGAGCTTGAGGCTGAGACCAGAGGAGAAGCATTCAGAAGAAAGAAGGGATCAATCTATGGCGGTGAAGTTGTCTTCATCAACCATGAAGAAGACCATTCCAATTATGCTTAGCTAAAAGCTTTTGTTAGGGATGTAATGTAGCCCTAGCTTAGCACCGCTGGTTTTATTGTATTTATTTATTAGAGACAATTATTTTCATGCATGATTGTGTAACATATAGGACTTTTAATTAACTTTATTTTAAAGTTTTAATTCAATTACAAAGTATTTTTTTTATCTTGTCTTAGATATTTAAATCTTGTTATTGAACACAACTCATTCACTTCTTGTGGTTGTGAATGAGATGGTTATACAATGATTTTTCACTAAATATAATATTAGGGATTCGATGGATTGTGCCTAGAGAAGATAGACCATACTACACCATAGAGTAAAGTAGTTAGGTAAATGGTTTATTCTAATCGAAGATAGCCCATGCTTAGCTTTAATTTATATTATCTTCTAGTTGAATTAATATGTGCTTGTAAGCATAATTAATTCCTTATGCATGTTTTATATATATCTCCAATAAATTAATGCAATTGACTGGTGATGCGACGTTTGTAGTGAAGTCATGTCCCTAGTTCTCTCTCTCTTATTTTCTCCTAGAGCCGAAAGCATAACCACCTTTGTATCTTCTTTTTTTAGGTCCTTTCGCAACATCATGTGAGATATAATTTTTGTAATTGGCAAATTTCGATGTCAAAATAAGTCTGATCGAGTTGTAATTTCAAGTTACTATATCAAGATTGAGAACGGCTACGGAATTGGAAGGTTGTCCATACACAGATCTACGAAACAAGAAAGAACAACACTTTAGGAAGTTGTTTCCCACTTAGGACACTATACATATATGGTATATTCTTCAAGTTTCCAAAAACAGAGTTTTTCCAAATTGGTTTTCAACATTTCTTTAAAATTCTGTCAAGTGGGAACCGGTACCAAGTTTGGGAACCGGTTCAAGAACCTTAGCTTCGAGGAATTCATTTTGTTCTTTAATAACCGGTTCCAAATGTGGTTACTGGTACCAAGTGCCGATATAGTTTAGGATTCCGATTTCTTGTTCTTTCTCAAACTTCCTAGTTGGTTTAGAATAATACCAAAAGTCCTATGCACGAAATTTCCTTTTCTTATGCATGTTTAGGTCTTTGAATATTCAATAAAAACCTTATTTTCATTTAGGTTTGTACGAATTTTGCAATACAACTTTATAATTCTTAAAAGCCTTAGAGAGATATTTTTACAGAAAATCAAAGTTGATTTTTCTATCTTTCTTTCTAGAACACACACATAAACACAAGAGTGAGTTTAGAGTTTTTTTTTAATTCATGATCGTGATTGAAGTCTTGCATCTATAACGATCAGAAAAATAGATCTATTACTTCTTCTACAAATCCAGATCTTAAAGAACGGATGTGAAGCGATCACACTTTGAAAGGGTCAAAACATTCGAGGAGTGTAGTTTGATCTACCAGCAATCCTTCTACAGAGATCAAGAATAAGCCTAAGGTCACGTATTGTTGGACGGGACGTCGCAAAACCAAAGAATTATCAGCTATTGGTGTTTGGTAGAATGATAGGGTGTGAGTCTTAGTCAAAGTCCATTGTACTTTGTGTCAAATATAATGGATCGGTTTACTTTGGACTGTACAGTCCACGAGATTTTTCGTACACAAACAGTTGGTCTATTTTACCAATTGGGGTTTCCTTGCTAAAAATCCTGGTTTCATCTCTAACTCTATTACTTTGGTTTATTTTATCTTACATGTGATTAATTTATTAATTACTAAAATAAGTAAAGGTAGAAAGACATAGATCTGTTTCTAAAAATACAAAACTTTCTAATCTTCAGCAACATAAACTCACAAATTGGTATCAGAGTCAATCTCTACACATTAAGTTGATCCTTATGGAAAGTTTTAATTATTTTTCAAAAATTTGTTTTCATCATATCTTATGCGTTGAAAGAAGATGGTTTTAATCAACGTGGTCCGTTATTTGAAGGAAACAATTATAATTTTTGAAAATCTAAGATGAGAGCCTATTTGCAAAATTTAGGAGGTAAAACTTGGCTATAGTTGAATCTGGTTATGTGACGGCCCTAGTTCTTCAAGCCAGTGCATCTAGTGATGAACCGAAGATTGACTCGATAACGGATCCAGATGCAGAAGTAAGAAATAAAACAACGGTCTCCCAAGGCATAACATGCCTCTAAGACGTTTTGATGACCTTCCATGAGGTGGTGGAACTCAATGAGAACTGACGAGGAAGTAAAAGATAAAAAATATGACAAATAAGCTCCCAGGCGTAAAATAGTTATTTTGTAAAAATATGGATTTGGGTGCTACTGAGCATACCGCTGGAAAGACAATGAAAAATAATCATGATAGATTCAAGAATCGCATGATTCGGAGTTCGGACGAGGGATAAACGGCAAAACAAAGAAAAATGGACATATAAAGCAAAAGGGTAAACTGGCAATTATTCAGAAATATCTGAGCCTAACCAAGTACACCGTTGGATAGACGACGAAAAATTAGTCAAGTTTAAAAAAAAATTTACTCGATTTGGAGTCCGGACGTAGGAGAAAGGTCAAAAACAAAAACAATGTTGCGGCGGCCCGACGAGGGTCACGACTGCTACAGTGCTGCCGACCCACTACTGCTGCAACTGAGAGTAAAAACGGGCATCAAAACGGAATTTTTTTGGAAAAACTCAAAGAAGAAACCCTACCTAAAATCAAGTTTTCTACCCAGTATCGTGGACGAAAACAAAAAAAATACACTGTAAAATGCTCAGAATGCCCCCAAGAAAATCATGTCAAGAGGGTAAAAATCAGTCCTAGCTACTGCCCAAGAAAAGAAAATGGGGCTTCGGGAGGTTTTTAAATTGTCTAAATTAAAAATGAAATCATAAAATACACCTACAAGACCCCCGAAAGTTTAGGATCAGTCGTCACACTTTTCAAGAAAAAGTAGATGAATAGTACCAAGTACACTTGTATTAAAATTTAGCAAAAACCTGGCAACAAGGATTTTTTGAAAAAAAAAATGGGTTTTTGAGAGCCAAGATGACGTTTTTTGGAAAAACACAAAGAAGAACCCCCCCCCCCTCCCCCGAAATCAAGTTTTCTACCTGACAACGTAGACGAAAATAAAAAAAACACACTGTGAATTTCCCGAAATTCCCCTAGAATAGAAAAGGGTAAAAACTCAAAAAAATGCAACTTTAAGTTTTTGTTTCACCAAGAATGGTATTGTGTGCCAAAGTGAATATGTAAGCATATGTAATATTATAAAGTAGATGTACTACAATGGTCTACGGGCTCATTACAATCCATTTACAAGTTTTGGCATACCAAACCTCAAATTCTCACAAATAGGCTACAATGGCAATATTTTAGTTTTAAAGAAAGAATACTTGTAATCTTTAAAGTTAATAACTCTTGGCCTCATGGCATACATACAAAGTAAGCATCCAAAAAGTGTACTTAGGTACACATTACATATTTCTAGGCGAAAATAACATTTTACAACTAAAAGATGCTACATGCTAACACTTGCATGTTTTCCAAAATACATCAAAAT